TGCGCACAATCGAGTAATAAAGGGTAATGCGTGTATCAGATCGTTGAAGGCCACTTCCATCCAAAGTAAAATGGAGTCAAGCGAGCCATGTAATCATTGTCTGACATATCAATATGCTCGCCGTCTCCATCCGTCCATGGTAACCGGGATTTTGTTGAAATGAAATATATGACAACGAAATATACAAAGATACAGCCATTTAGCCAGGTCATCCTTGGCTGTAGCATCATTCAGCGTACCAGAACAAGCCCAGCCAACATAGACGCAAAGACTCATGTTTGACATGAGGCAAAACTACAGCGTGCATAGTCCCCAACACCTACATATGCGAGCTTAGGCTTTGATGTACTTATATCTGCATGGCAAGATAAGCTGCCTCCTTCGGATCCAAAGAGCTTATCAAAAGCAGCTAATACATCCAATCCGAATTATTGATTTCCATAGCAGTAAACTTATACCCTTTGCATCTCATATCGACATTTATAATTTCCTGGGCAAATACAAGATTTTATTGATATAAAATAAGCAATGTTTAATGTGTACTCATATCAGGCACACGCATTTAATGTGTATTGTATAGTTTTTCATTTTATTTATTGTAAAAAAATAATGGTCTCTCTTGGTTGCTTTTACAAAAAGCTTACAGGTTGAACCACGAGAAGGTGGAGACCAATCTCAACCCAAAAAGTGAAAGTAGGCATGGGGGAAGGGAAACACATGACAACACAGAAGACTTATTACAGAAGACTTATTACAGAAGACTTATTACAGAAGACTTACTACAGAAGACTTATTACAGAAGACTTACTACAGAAAACTTATTACAGAAGACTTACTACAGAAGACTTATTCCAGAAGACTTACTAGAGAAACCCTCACACCAAAGACACGAAACTCTCAAAAGACAAAGTACCAAAGACTTGAAAACCTCAGAGTGTGCCCTTAAAAATCCCCCATGCGAAAGAATACGACCAAATAAATATAAATATCTATATACTAGGACCAGAGAGAGCCAGAGAGAGCCAGAGAGAGCCAGAGAGAGCCAGAGAGAGCCAGAGAGAGCCAGAGAGAGCCAGAGAGAGCCAGAGAGAGCCAGAGAGAGCCAGAGAGAACCAAAAGTATCCAAAGAGAACCAAAAGTATCCAAAGAGAACCAAAAGTATCCAAAGAGAACCAAAAGTATCCAAAGAGAACCAGAGAGAACCAGAGAGAACCAAAAGTATCCAAAGTGAACCAGAGAGAACCAAAAGTATCCAAAGAAAGCCGTCAAGTAGAATAGAACCAGTCTTGAAATACCATAAGCCTTGTATTGTGAACCACCCTGATTCAGAGCATGTTACCATCCGTTATGTGCAGACAAGACAAATATACTTACATGATCACCAGTCTTCTAGTAGCGTCTATTGTTTTTGAGAAAAAAAAAAAAAGATGAAGAAAAAGATAAAGAAAGGACGTGAGATAAAGAGAGAAATCTTTTACCTTTTATACCTTGATTACAGTAGCAACAATTTAAGGAGACACGCAAAAAAACACTTCAAACGCAATTCTGAACGCTACTGGCATCCAGAGACAATGCAACTAATACCATTGGAATCGCCTTCAACTGCCCTACAATATGATATGCATTATTACTACTGTATACACACAAGATATGATATAAACTCATATGGTTTATTTCGTTTATTGATTAAACACAGTCAGCTTGTTTACATTTACATCTTGTATTCGGTTGATAACGGAAAGTGAACAATTTGATTCGCTTTGGATTTGAAAAGTTCGAGCAAAATGTAAACAATAACGGGTTCTTTATCAGTATAGTTTTGCAGTGATTGCAGTATATAAATTATATGTATTCACTATTTTATATGTACAAGCAGAGCTGTCAAAGTTCTGGTGCTACTGTCACCAACAGGATATGCTCTTACTTCTTTGAAAAGAATGTAGGCAAGTTGCACGGAAAACAAACAAACAAAAAGTCATCGTTCAATTAGAGTGAGCATATTGGTAGTAGTGCAAGCAAACCCATTTGAAGCTATATTTTACAATGTGTATCCAAGTAAAAGGCAATCTTGATCCGCTGCTTTTGGGCCTGTAGAACACTTGGGTGACATGACGCCGCCTCAAAATACAGTATTTGCATGATTTTTAAAAAGTGTGTATGTATAAACCAGTTGTCTGTCTTCGTTAGTGCTCAGTAGAAACCTCGCATGTATTTCATAATTAGTATTGCCATCTATTTGCTAAAAATTCCTAGTAACAGGAGATGTGATGGCCCTTACACTTTAATAAAATGGACATTTGGCATTAGGTTCCCAAGCGTATATGGTATTATAGCATTGCCTTAGTGGCTGCTATAGTATAGCCTAGTAGTGGTATCTCAATGTACAGTACATCAAACCTCAAGTGCCATTTGCAATTTTGAATAGCAAGAAAGTTTGCGTTTCATATTAGGCCATTTATTTGAATATGTAATAAACAATGATTAATCCGAGTGTCAGAAACAAAATGTGCTTCAGAATCAGGCAAAAGTAGAGAGAATAAGCTACTATAATACTTTTTTTCAAATTGCAATCCTCTTTATATTAGCTTCAAGATCGTAGATTACATTGATATCAGAAGCACTCAAAATCAATTGAATTCTCGCTTAACGTCTATTCCAGATTGGACAGATTTTGATCCAAAAACGACTTGATTCATCTATTTTGCAGAATTGGACTATATTAGATGCGATGATCATCTTATACTTTCTAATGCATTTCTGGAGTGCTTTTCAAGGCGCATCGAATGATGGTGCTTATGGCAGATGTTTATAATAAACGCATCGAGCAATATCAAAAAATATGAAATGAGGTTTCTAGCAAAAATGTCAAAAACTTACATATAAAAGATACACAAACGACGTTTCAAGGGTTGCTTTGGATCGATAGCAACATTTTGATGTAATACATACCATAGTAAAAAGTCATCATCTTCAAGGTAAAAAAAAAAAATGCGATTGTTTGATTTTCGATGAAAACCATGAGGGATACCTCATGCTTTTTGGTCCCCAAAAAGTTGAGCAAGGGTGGCAGGAAGTTAGTGCTAGATGAAAGCAATGGTTTGTCGTCATTCAGGCGGCTCAGAAAGATCTATATGGCACGATATGAAGGCTTGAAAGCTGTCAGATTTGGCCGTTTTTTATACATTTGCTTGCGATGACCTCAATATCATAGCATAGGAGGATAGCTACGATTTTGATTAGGTTGAATTCAAATAAATGATACACATGCTTGGCTTAGCCAAGTGAACAGAGTTTTCCTTTGAGGGTACTTTGACTCAACGCTATCCAATATTCGTGCGGTTTGATTCAGTGGAAATTTGATCCAAATTGAATTCGATTTAGTGGAATTCGTTGGTTGCAGGCAAGACAAAGCATCAATGAGATCAATTTGAGAGCTATTGCGAGAGCTGCAACCCTATAGAATAAGGCAAGCCTTTTTAGATGCATTGCTAATAATTTGGCGCCACAAATCATGAAAATATCCATTCTAATTCAATACTTCTCTTTCTAACAGGGCGAACAACAATGATTACATACAACCAAGCGTGAACTAGTAATTTCTTACGCGCACAAGCCCAAACTTTGATAATACAAGAAAGTAGAGGGTGCACTGCCAGCGGAATTGTGTCAAGTGCTTTGAAGGCAAATCAGTTTTAATCTTCTTGTTTACATTGCTGCTTGAATAACCTTCATTATTGAATTCAATATAATTGAATTTAATATAGTCTATACATTCAAATTGATAGGAAAGTCTGGTGAAGTAGTCCTCTGTGATCTTGCATCTCTCCAAATGGAGATAACAAAAATACTCTACTCTTCGAGTTTCTGAGTTAGGCGATTGCAATGAAAATTCATACTGGCAATTGCCAACTGTTGATTTCGATTACCTTTGCCAAATGATGTCTTACGAACTCGTCCAATTTCTAGTGCTCTAAACATAAAAGGCATTGCAAGCGATCAGGTTGAATGGAATAACCGTAAGCTGCTGTTATTCCAAAGCCATCCATAGCTAAGATTGTTTAAGTGTGCCTCTGCATTCGGCAGCGGCTATGATGCAACTGAAGTAGATCTTTGTTGTGATATCCGGCTGGGTGAGCATCAACTCTAATAACTAGCGTGGTAAATTTGAGAACGCGAAGAAATTCTGATTGAAAACGGAAAAAGAGCCATAAATCCTGTAAGATTCGCCTTGTAACTAACAAATGTTCTGCGCAACTTTGACTGCCGAGAATTGGAAACACCCACTTTTAAATGGATTATCTATCACACTTTATATCAGCCGTTGAAATACCTTTGAATATGCTCTTGTTGCACTCCACATAACATTAAAGGTATGCTCAGTTTTAGGGAGAAGTGTGGATCAACTATTTTGGAATGTAAAAGGCATTACAATGTTTCTTTTATCAAAAAGTATATTGATATACACGCAGCTTAGAGATTTTAGGTGGCGAAATGTTACATATGATCAAACAGTGGGATGCTGTTGCTGCTAAAAGACATGCATCAAATCCTCTGCAATATTCAATGAGTATAAGGAGACAGCCGCTAGCCTTTAGCAGGAAATGTCATTAGTAAATGATGGGCAGTAGAGATTGTAATTCAAATTTCTAATATACTATAGACGAGCCAATGAAATCATGTTGACAAGATCGGCTTACCCCTGAATAGTTTAAATTAATAACGGCATTGGGCAGAGAGGACACAAGAGCCATCCAATTGAATAATTCATAATAGTCGCCAGTGGTAGTTACCAGTCTTATTGCCATCAACACCTAGCGTTTCTATCTTAGGAATAGATTTATAGTATATTTGCGTGTACACTAAATCGCAGTTATTGCAAATGCAAATGTATTTATTCTTTTTATACGGAGGGTGACATTATGTATGTACGATGATATATATTACAAAACTGTGTGTACGCACAGGCATATTATAACTCTAATTTTGTGTTTGTTTGCTACTCAACAGCATCTAGATTTAATTCGATTGGTGATCCTCGAGTCTAGCCAAAATCGTCCCGTTTTGTCAGATTTACATTGTTTCAGGAACTCTAGTATGAGCGATTCCGCCTTGTCCCTTTTGTCGTTTTTCAACCAGGCATCCATCATGACACTATAGGTCACTGTATTCGGCTGATGTCGCTGACTCTTCTTCATCAGTTCAAATATCTTTTCAGCGGTTTCTGGCATCTGGCTCTTTCCACAAGCATCCATGAGAATGGTGTACGTAAACGTGTTGGGTTCGACAGATTGTGCTAGCATATCGCGGTGCACTTTTAGGGCCCCCTCAATTCCAATTGATTCTGCCTGCATTTTCAGCAGGATGGTATAAAGAGCTGCATCAGTCTTGACACCCGACATGGCTGCTTGATGTGCAATGTGGAGTACAGCTTCTGGCATATTGGGGTAATCGTCGTGTTGTTTGGAGAGTGATTTTAATATACAAGATATAACGACTTGATTAGGCTGAATGTTGTCTGATATCATGATTTGAAACCATCGAAATACAGATTTGATGTCATGTCGTCGAGATGCTGCTTCGATGAGTGCGCTGTAAGTGTACACATTGGGTGGAATATTGCTTTGAAGCATCTTGTTGTAAAAGTGAATGCACATCTTTGAATGTCCCGCATGTCCATTGGCTCGAATCAATTCGGTATATGTTGCTGCATCAGGCTCGACATCCAGCTGATTCATCGTTTCGAATATAAATGCTGCCCTATCTGCTGATCCCTGTGCTGCAAAGATTTGTAGTACGGCGTTAAAAGCTTTGATGGTAGGCCGCTGCTTTGTTTCAAGAAATTGCTCAAAGGTCTTTAGCGACTCGTGGTACTTTTCTTGCCGCCGGTATGCGTTCATCAGATTCACATACACCATCTCGTTGATTTTCACCTTGTCTGCCATGCTTTGTTGCACTGTATCTAGCACTTGTTGCGCCTTGTGCAGATCACCGTTTACCAAAATTCTCCATATCAGCTCGTCCAACGCATCTGCTCTGTTGGCTTGCTTTTTCTTTGGTAATCCCATCACAAATTCGTCAATCAAGCCATGTGCTGTTGCCGCGCTTTGCTGGTATCCATGACAAATGTACGCTAAACGACCGAGATCAGCGGCTGACAAGTACCTGCTATCATATTCCGAAATGCCTGAACCATGCAACGCTATCAACTGCAGCTTTGATTTCAGCTGGTTCCTGTCCAAGCGTTTGTCCTTCATCACCATCATCATCAGCTGAATGCACGTATTTCGCGGTAATTTCGACGGATCCACTTTGCCCTTTTTACCCTCCTTGTGAAACTTGTAAAATGTGGTCCACGCTCCATGATGGTCCCCTGTTCGGATCGCTTTCAGCAGTTGTTTGTGATTAGATATGGGAATCTCCTCGATGGATGACAGAAATGATTCGATTGAGCTTTGGTGAAACTGGACATACTCTAATAATTGATCAAGCTGCTTTTGTCGAAATTTCGATGCTCTGTTGGAGAATCCCGTCAGTTTTTTCGCAAAATTCAAGAGGGCGTATAAGGAGCAGCACATGGTCAAGGGTATTGTATCGTCGTCATGTCGAGAAGCAAGGGTAACAAATATGGACCAGGCTTGGTCGGCATTGCGAAGTTGTATAGCATAGTCTAAATCAGCCAAGGTCAGTCTATCGGACAGGTTGAAGAAATTGAGAGCTCCATGCAGTCTGCTCGAGGGATGCTTCCGTGAGGGCGAAGAGGGTGCTGGCAGTACAGTGGTCGCTGGTATTTTCTCCATGACAGCTGCTGTCGCTGGTGAGGGGGAACAAGTTGACATTGCTCGAACATTGAGTAGAGATCGTTTGCTGTGTTTGGGTATGAAAGATGGTGTTGAGAATAGGTTTTGTTGTAGTAATTGCTGCTCTAGTGGAGGAAAAGTGTTGAGCAAGGCTCGCAAGTGTGAATTCCGCCTGCATGTGGTTGAAATCACAGAACTTTTCCCAGTATCTACAGTTGTACTCACAAGTCTCGACACATCTTTCAAATGAGTCGTAGACTTTCGCATGTGTACGGGTTGGGAAACTGAATGAACTGTTAAAATTTCGTCCTAATTGTAAATATTTGATAGGTTTTGTAATGTGTCAAGGTCGGTCGTGGGGTAAAAAAAAATGCCTTGTTAGTTCCCGGAGAAGAGAAAGTTTTGGGACAGATACATTTTGCTAGGCACAGAAGTGGACTGTTATAGTGACTAGACGATGACGCACCTGCCATTTGCTCAAATGTGTCAAAATTGCATTACCCAGATGCCACATTGCTTCGTGCAACACCATCCTTCTTATGACAAGTTCATCATATTAAAGAATAACGATGCTGTGATTGTGGCAGCAAGAATCAACGTTTAAATACAGACTTGCGATTTCTTTCATGATGGATATCCCGTAATGGCATTGGGCATTTGGTAATTCCATGTGCATACGACGACGGACATCGCTTCAGCATCATCCAACTATTATCATTTGCCACTTCTAAACGAGGAAATGAAGCTGCTTGTGGATACAAATTCTTCCAATACGTTGTCCTGAGAGGTGCTCTGGCATACGGTGAACAAGCACTGTCAAAATGTATGGCCAAGGTCAAGATGTATAGCCATCCCATATTTAGCACATTTACAACCAACGGATGTAGAATCTTTCGATTATACCTGAGCTTCTATCATTATCACTACATCAATATCACAATTAGCATTACGTACTAGATGGTGTAAATTGAGTTAGATTTCTGCGGCATTATAGATCAAGTGCCACCTGGTAGATAGATATCGACTTAAATTCGCATTTGAGTGAGTAATTTGTAACAATTAAATATACTATAGAGAAAAATACACAGCCAGAACAATAAAGCATACTTAATCTAAAATACAGTGCTCTTCAATTCTCAATCCCTTATTGTTAGCTGCAAAAAATATCGATTGCCTACATGAGATACCCATTTTGCCGTCAAGCAACCAGTGAATTCCATTTAAAGGCCCGCTTGGCATTTGTTCTAGATTGGTCAGATTTGATCCATTTTCGACTTGATCAAACTATTTTGCTTGATTCGACTATGTAAATTGTGATGATCATCCTATGCTTCTTTGAGCTTTCTTGCAGTGCTTTTCAAGGCGCATCCAATGGTACCAAGTAATATAAATGTTTTGAATAAACTTATTCAATAATTTACGAAAATATGAAAAGAGGTTTCTGGCCAAAACGTGGAAATTTTACATATCAAAGTCCCAAAAAGATGATTTCAGGCGTTGCGGTAGATCGATAGAAACATCTTGATTTAAGATATACCATAATAAAAGTCTTCATTATCAAGGTCAAAAACGGGATTGTTTGATTTTCGATGAAAACCATGAGGGGTACCTCCTGCTTTTTGGTCGATTTTTGTCCATGTTTTTTTTGGTCCCCAAAAAGTTGAGCAAAGGTATCAGAAAGCAAGTGATAGATGAAAGCAATTATTTGAAGTTATTCTGGCGGTTTAAAACGACTCCAAACACGAGAAAACACGACCCAAATACACCAACATTACACTGTTTTCACATATTTATGAGTAGGCAATGCCAACGCTATCATGTTGTCTGCCCGTAAACGGATTGTTCCCATTGACACAGATGCGGAACATTGGATTACAGTCAGTTCTGCAGTTACAGGCGGTCTGGATGACGCTCATTTAGTTGTAGTTGTCTGAAAATTGAGACTTCGATATGTGTTAGGAGCAGCTATGGTGAGAGCATGACGCATTAATCTAATCTATGCTACCAACCATATGTCATACTGATCTGTGCGGCAATGAGTCCCCTAAGGACAAGCTCTTTTTATCTTATCTCTGATGCTGTCAATATCAAACCCTGTTGTAAACTTCTATTTGTTTCCCTTTTTTTTCCTTCAAAGAAGGAAGAAAGCAATTGGCAAATTTAAAATATTGATATTTCAGCAACCATCAAGAATGGCTTGCAGTACTACTTTTTTTTTTTATTTCACTTCAAATCAGAAATCACTCATATCACTGTCTTCAGCAGAATTGTACTCTGATGAGAGAGGGGAAGTGAGGGCGTAATCAAGATATTCTTCGTCAATTTGTAGACGTATTGAATCAAGATCGAGTAACAAATGCCTTACAGAAAAACATGAAAATTGGATTGCTCGAGCTTTAGGGGAACGTAAATAAAACTGCTTCTTGGTTATCAAATATCTATAACTATCATTTGGCATAATCTTGAGGTACATTGCTCGATTAGTCTTCCTGATTCGTAACCAAAGATACGTTTCCCTAGAGTAATACAACTCAAGCGCCAGCAGGGTTCTCTCTGCGTATTCAACAGCTGCCTCGTTGTCCGAATCGTCCATGTCACGAGTAAAGTAATTGCACGGCATTAACCGATACGTAAATTGTTGGAATGCATTATGCTCCATGTTGATGCGTACTATGCCATTCTGACGCAAAATAGGGCAATTGACCAAGTTGAGTACGCTCAGTTCACGGCACATGTCAGTCAAAGCAAGAGAAGTAGCAGGGCTTAACTGAGCACCACAAATCTCCAATGATTTCAGTCGAGTATAATGATTTGAAAAGTAAAAGTCGGTGCAATCACTAATGTCTCGCGCAATAAACCTGATGTTTTCAGCATCCGGATAGTCAAATAGAATGTTGAAAAAGACAACGTTTTCATCTTTGACAGCTATTTTCCTATAAAAATCGTTTCTATCATCCACATCAAAGTCGCGATAATTTAGCAAGTCAATTTCCAGGTGATCTGCTGGCATGTGTACTTGTGATAAGTACCAGGCGTGTGTTTTTGTATTTGCATTGGGTGGTATGTGCACGGAAAAGGTTGTTTCGTGATTTAGCTCTTGTGATTCTTTTCCTTCAATTGTCATTACGATTGTCAAGGTCCCTCCCAAAACATGATGATATCCAATTTTCACAATGTTGATATCGCTCTTCGCTGTGTTGAATATCGTAGTAATAGCATCTCCCACTGTTATTCTATACGTCAAAGTATAGTTTGCCACGTTTTTCAAGGGCTCGATTAGCTGTTCTGTGTTTGTGGTGATGTATGCGTCTGTTTCATGGATGTTTAAAGTGATGCTTTGCATATTTGGGTACTTGAACATCAGATACTGAACGAAATGAGGAAAGCCGGCAGAGACAATGCTGAGATTCTTCAGACTAGTGACCTGATAGAAGTTAGCATTATTAACAGGCCAAGTTGAAAGGGTTGCGACATCCATTGGTGTGCCGTCATATTGAACATAGGCCTCAGTACTTAATTGAAGTTGTTGTAGTTGCAAGCAGCGACCTATGATTTGCTCCAGTTCTGCTATGTTGCCAAAGGGTGCTTTCACAGTCAACGTCGTCAAGCACTTGAATTTATTGAGCTGGTTCATCAAGTGTGTTGGTGAATCAGGAATCTCGTCGAGGGTAATATCTACAGTTGTTAAACTGTTCTTGAAAGTCGATAAAGCTTTACTGTAGCTGTCGGTAAAATAGTATGTAGAGGGAATGACACTGAGCTTATCAAACTTGGTTATGGATTCTTGAGCGATTTTGGTAATAAGTCTATATAGCATATCAGTGTCATCGCCACCTAATTCTCTGATGTTGGAAGTAAAGAGAAACGGCAAGATTGCTTCGAGGATGTTGTTGTCATAATGGCATAGACTGAGGTATTTCACATGTTGGCCTTTGGTTTGATCTTTTGTCAAGTACTCCATTAGCTTTTTTCTCTTCACCTCATTATAGAGACACAGATGCAATGGTTTCTCGAACATGGCCTTGGCAGCAGGATCGTTCCAGTATTTGCAGACCAGTCTGCATTCTCCAATTGATTCGGCTGAACCCAGAAAAATGAACACGGCTATAAGAACCTCTATGGGTAAGGATTGGATATTTGCCATGTCTTTTTAACGAATAGAGAAGAATGGGAAGGATGATCTTCTTTACAATCAAGAAACCTCAGGCCATGTGAAAGGCAGCTGAAGCTCAAATTGCATGAAAATTGATATAGCAAACACGACTTGTTTATTCAAAATAGTATGATGTTGATCAATTGGCGTTTACTCTCGCAGGCCCATGTAACCCTTTCAAGAATAAGAGTGCTGAGGCTCGACACACCTTGAAGAGCTATCTTGTTTCTAACAAGCAATCATGAATGAGGCGTAATATGGAGCGCGTTGGCCGCACTGGCAAATGCTGGCTGTTGCTGTAGCTCTACATCTGTATTTGAGTAGGACCGTTTTAGCCACTCATTTTCAAATCGAAACACAACCCAAATCCATCTCCTGACGATTTCCGCCACATCAATGCAAATGGGATGCACATGGTATACGTGGGAACCAATCTTTAGCAGCCGTAGACTGCCGTTAACGCCTACTGCTGCGATATAATACAATGGATCAGAAAAGTATAAATCCTTTCGAAGTCGTATAACTGAACTTTCTGCTGTGTCTATTTGCACAAGGCCCCAATCCATGGCAAGGTCCCATGCAAATGCAAATGCGCTATTGAACATTGCTGAGAAAAGCCATAACTGCCACACTATATCGTTTTGTGTGATGCCATTAAAGACATCTGCGCTGTTGTTTGGTTTGGTATGGTACCCTAGAAAGACGACAGGTATGCTGGAGGCATATTTGAATGCGTTGATTAGCTTGCTGTTGTATGGATGTTGCTGGGCGTAGTAATCGCAGAGACATTGCTTTAGACGGATCAAATATGGAATGCTTTTGCTAAATTAGTGATCCGCTTCAACACCTTGTTTCTTACTATGAATTACCTGGTGATGAATGGTGCATACTTTGAATGAGGCACATGAACTACTCGCATTAGGTTTATACATAGGCCTGTGAATACGCCAGAGAAGCTAATCAGGATATCTGCCACCAACACATCAGAGAAATACACAGGACAGCTTTTTATTAATCGACCCAGGCACTTGAAGAATCGCTGTCCATCTTGAAAATACAATACCAAAGCTATTGTCATTGCATAGCACATTATCACTGGGCCAAATTGACTCAAAATGTTTGTACGCTGATTGAAGATGGCGTGCTCCAGCAGTATGGCATGAAATGCGAGCAATGCTGTTAATGCTGTTGCCATAAACACCAGCGGTCTTCTTTTGTGCAGCGGTGATGTCGCATGTAAGAGTGCATTGACATCAATGCGCTGCCAATGCGAGATTGTGAGCACTATGATCCAGCTCCATAAACTGAGGCAGATCAAAGCCAAAGGCTGATATGATTCAGGGACAGCCAAGATTTCTTTTGAATATAAAGACATTTGGCAATAGTAAGGAAAGTGGAAAGAATGCCTGGGTTCATTCGTCTTTACATTGTTATCGCATTCTTTCCCTTTAGTACATATTAAACTGCTGTCCAACACAAACAGGCGAAAATGTCACATTTTTAATTGAGACTCCACTTTTTTTTTTGAAATGTGAATGATCCTTGCTGTTTGTTTGCTATTTAGCTCGTCTTTCAAGCATTACAAATCATCATGTTTATCACTAGAAGGGCCTTCTCAACATGTCGCACCTTGATGCATGAGAATCCATTGGTAAGCAAAAGCACGAAGCACAGGACATCTCATCAAGACTAACAATAGTACAGGGATTGCCTCGACATAAACCAGCACCTACCATACCACGAGCACAGCGAGGGTTGCCCAAAAAGATGCCAATTGCTGGCGTAAAGAATGTCGTAGTTGTAGCATCTGGAAAGGGTGGTGTTGGCAAATCCACAACAGCAGGTAATTCCTTAGAACAGTAACAAGTAGAAATATACAACTCACATTGACATGAACAAAAGTCAATATTGCTTTGGCAGCTGCTGGTATGAAGCAAAGAGTAGGCATCTTGGATGCAGACATTTTTGGACCCTCTGTGCCTAAATTGATGAACCTGAAAGGAGAGCCTGAACTGACCGAGACAGGTAATGGGAGGATTCCATGTACAGTGATGCCTAGCACTCACTGATTATACACCATTGGTATAGGTGATCGACTCATCCCGCTCACAAACTACGGTGTCAAATGCATGTCAATGGGTTTTTTAGTGGATCAAGATGCACCAGTCGTATGGAGAGGATTAATGGTAATGAAGGCGCTTCAACAATTATTACATCAAGTGGATTGGGGACAGCTGGATTTACTGGTGATTGACATGCCTCCAGGAACAGGTGATGTCCAGCTCACCATCAGTCAGCAAATCGTAGTGGATGGTAAAGTCATTAAATATTAGGGTTTGTCATGGGCCACCCACTCATCTTGTTGATAGGTGCTGTCATTATCTCCACGCCTCAGGATATTGCACTCATAGACGCAGTGAAGGGCGTCAACATGTTTAAAAAGGTCAATGTCCCGGTAAGTACAGGACTAAAAGAACTTTTGCAGCATGGCTTACTATTTGATAGATCCTGGGCATGGTACAAAATATGTCACTTTTCATCTGCCCCAATTGTAATCATGAATCCCATATCTTTGGCCATGATGGTGCTGCTCGTATGGCCGAGGATTTTAATGTTCCTTTGTTGGGCCAAGTGCCACTCCATGCTGATATCTGCACACTGTCAGATTCAGGCAGACCCATCGTCATTTCCCAGCCTGATAGTCCCTTCTCTAACCATTACCGTTCCATCACTCAAAACATGCTGAACCGCTTAAAAGAAATCAAATAAAGGATTGATTTATAATATATAAATTTTATTTGAACATTCGAGATAGGGTAGTTTGAGCCGAAATATACTGTAATTCTTCTGCTTCAAATGGTTTTTGTATATAATGTTGGTTGTTGTGTTTGTTGAACGATTAAATAGTTTATTCGGAAACGTACTTGTCCTTGATATCCTTCCATTGTTTCTAATAGATGGAGCTTGTCAGTATCAACTTGATCCCTCACTCGAAATATATACTTACGCCCTTGTTGAGATGGTCCCAAACCTTGGTGGAGGTGGAATCGAAGGCAACCTCAAAGGCGATGGCACCAACAAAGATGGAGGTAACAAAGACAGAGTTCTTCTTGAAGAAGGTGTTGTAGATGGTGCGGGTCAAACCAGAAGCAGGTGCAGCAGGCATTTTTATTAGTGTAGAGAGTGGGGAGAAGTAAAGAGAGAGGTGTAAAAACAGAAATGTGGAGTTTTTTTCTTTCTCTAAATTAACAAGCAGGGGATTTTAGGATAGCCATTGCTTGGAGTTGTGGAGGTGTGACGTAGGAAGACTGCACCAACTAGACATTGCAGACCAGCTACATCAATGTATATGGCCATCTTCAATACGAACTATCTTGATGTAGAGCTATTTATCTTGAAAACAAAAGATTGTATCCTCTCCTCCATACATAGGAGTGCATGATATGGCTAAAGCATATAATCGGCATAGCCTCGCTCCTTGTTTAAAAGTTCTTTGAAAACAGCACATCTTGCACTAAACCATGGCTGGACCTCAAATCACAAAACCTCTTTATTTTGGAAAAACCTGTCGAATGTTCAAGTTGATTCTAGTTGTCTTCATGTAATCACCAAAGACCTTCCAGTCCTCATCATCGACGAATTCAGGCAACATGTATTCAGGCAATGTGTTTTCCAAAATCCGAGGCACACCTAATAGAAATGTCAGTTCATCGTTCATCTAGCTTGTATACGACATGGTACCATGATAAGCTCTCCTTGCAATGGCAGTCATCACAATTATGTCTCCACTATTCAGTTTGAGAGGAATTGGCTTGGTATCTCTTGTATTACCGCCGATCAGGTATATACAGGAATGGCCCAGACTCATAGAGATCAATGGTGCCTCCATGTTGATCTCACTCTGATCTACATGTCCCATCAATGTGGATTGCAACTGATAAAAATTGATAATACCAGCTTCTGGCTTGAAATCAGCACCTTTGTACTGGTTCTTCCAAGGGGTCTCTGCATCCTGGCAACCGATATCTTCAGTTGCTGTTACTACAGCCTTCATCAAGTCATAGATATCATTGGGTATGGGTATGGGATCATCTAAATTGTACTTTTTGGTTCCCCAATGATATTGATAGCCCAATGTAACCCAACGTTGCTTTTTTAGCATTTGGGTGGGGGAACTTGCCACTCGACCACTTTTCCCACTGATGTCAGAGTACATGCTGCTAGCGACAGAGAGTGTATCGTCGTTTGCATCTTCAATGGCAGTAGGGTACATGTCGTTTTCATCTTGTGGTACAGTCTTGGAAGGAATGTAGTAATTGGCATCACCAGGCACAAGAGAGCCTTTCTGTTCCTGTTCGTACAGCGGCCAAACGCCATCTTTAGGGACATAATAATGCCCATCGAGGTTGGAAGTATGAGGTGGTTTAGCGTACTCTCTTAGGCAGTGTTTGACTAGCCGACGTTGGGCTTGTGGTGAAAATGCATTTGGAATAACAATCAAGCCTAAAAGCATCAAGAACAGGAGATTAGATTAAATGTTGTCCCGGCCCATCTAGACATGTACCTGGTACGTTCTTCATGATCAGGGCATATGTTGATCTGTGAGGCATATCACCAAAAGCATTGGATAGCTGGCCTAAATCATGTTTCAATGGTACCTGCACAATGTTTTCTTGTACTTGTGTGGTGTTGTTGGATAGGTTGCTGAAATCCACAATTTCTCGAGCTTCAGTATCTCTGACAAGTCGAGATTTATAAACCCTCTCTGCGTAACGAAATGGTGATTGATTAGCATAGAGTGCACGGTTCAATCGTTTTGCCGCGTTTTCCTTTTGTTGCTTTTGCCAAATCTTGAACTGTCGTTTTGATTTAAAATGTTGTTGGTAATTGCCAGTTTCTGTTTGCATTCTTTTAGTATTTTGAATGTAGAAAAGAACTTGATGAAACAAAAAGTTTCATATCAATACCAAGAAATCAAAGCCACATAAACACATATTTATGTTGTCAAATATGAATATCCGGGATGATTCAGATGGAAATGTAGATGAATTTGAGACAACAGATGTTGTACTCAGTAATATTTGAGATTTAGGCTTTGGTATGTGTAACAACAGAGTATATATTAGTCGAGATTGTGCTACACTCCATATGTCCAGCGTACATTTGCCACTCTTTGCTTTGATTAGATGTGCAAATATATACACCTAAAAGCACAGCCAAAATACGATTAAATCTCCTCTGTACGGTACAGAAATCGATCATCAATGTTTAACAATCAAAAGTTCTTCAAAGTTCTGTCCATACCCATAACTCACTCACGTGTGCATTCTCCTTTTGCTACATTATGGACATTTGATACATGGGGACTGCAAGGGGGTATCAATGTTATCATTCATATCGATGCTGAACGGTCTTTTGAATCAAGTCAGTTTATCGGGTAAGCAATTCTATACACCCAAAATCTCCAACACCCAAGACTTTCACAAAAAAAAACATGTAAAGCTTCTTTGTTCTTTCAATCAGCAGCAAAAAAGCTTCAACCATGTACAACAATGAAAAATGAATGGGGTCAAGTTGCATGTTTTCCTTGTAAATTGACCGAAAATTTTCTCAATTAAATGAGCGATGTGTGAGATTGTATTCATTGACTCGACAAAGAGTGCGTGTAATTGATTGTGTGTAAGCTGATAATCGTTCATTTGTCTCTCTTTCTTTTTTTCTTTCTTTTTTCTACCAAAATATTTTTTTCTTTGTATTCTACCTTCTCTAGTTTACCGAGAAATATCATCAACACAACACCAATCGAGTAGAAAGAAGCACATTTACGATCACCTAGCAACCCGAGAAAATTTTATCATTACCTAGCAACGATCTTGTCAATAGCAATCATCGAGAAACATCAGACATAGCAACAAAATGGGTTTATGTCAATCCTCAGAAGAAGACAACCAAGAACATCAAAAGAGCAATGAGATTGACAAGTTACTTGAGAAAGAAAAGAGCAACCGAGAAAAAGATTGTAAAATCTTGCTGCTAGGTAATGTGGATTGATGGAAAGCAAAATTGAGAAAAAAAAAAAAACATTAATCCGTATACACCATGTACAGGAAGTGGCGAGTCTGGAAAATCAACGATATTGAAGCAAATGAAGATTATCAACTTGAACGGTTATTCCAATGACGAATTATTCACATGGAGAGCAACAGTATACAGAAATGTGGTGGAATCAGCGCAGACCATTGTTCAAGCTGTGCGAGATTCTGGTACAGCATTCGAACGCAGTGAACTCAATGTAAATGAACGATAATGTTTCATGTCGATACAACAACACACTTACAACTACACATAGGATAACGTGGATCGAATACTATCATATCGTGTATCTGGAAACCCAAAGAGTCAATTGAGTCCTGAGATCATTGCGCTGACAAAACTATTATGGCAAGATTCCGCAGTGAAATCATGCTTAGCAAAAGGAGAATATGGATTTTATTTGATGGATTCAGCACCATAGTAAGTTGAGGCATTGTTATTTTTTTCATTGTGTATCCATTGCTAAAATAGAAACTATAGCTTTTTTGATTCTTTAGATCGCATTGGACAGGCAAACTACGTCCCAAATGAACAAGATGTCTTGCGGGCAAGACTCAAAACCACAGGCATCACCGAGATACAGTTTCAATTAGGTGGTTTATTAATACAGTAAGTGTTTATTCTTTAATTATCATCAACATGTGAATTCAATTCCCTTTTTAAGTATGTTTGATGTTGGTGGACAACGCTCAGAACGGAAAAAGTGGATTCACTGTTTCGATTCAGTGACATCCATTATTTTTTGTGTAGCATTAAGCGAATATGATCAAGTATTACTCGAAGAGTCTAATCAGGTAATGTAGCATTTTTACACGTAGTGTCTTGCAGTAGAACCGTATCACTAACATGTACACTGTAGAATCGCATGTTGGAGAGTCTGGCGCTGTTTGAGTCCATTGTGAATAGTAGATGGTTCATTCACTCTTCAATCATGCTATTTTTAAACAAAGTAGATGTATTTAAAGCCAAGATTGCTGGTTCGCCACTAGAGAATTATTTCCCTGACTATGGAGGTGGCAATGATGCTAATAAGGCCGCTAAATATATACTCTGGAGATTCCTACAGTGTAACAGAAACAAACTAAACATCTACCCACAGTAAGTTGTACTTGGTCATGTTGATTATCTATTTTGAATATATATATATATTAATTGTTTGATCCTAGTCTAACACAAGCTACTGATACATCAAATGTAAGTGTTTTGCTGTTACTGTATTAATGCACATGTACTGACTTGTATTTTTAGATTCGATTTGTATTTGCTGCTGTCAAGGAGACGCTGCTACAAAATGCATTGAGAGATTCTGGCATGCTATAAATCTTACCTAAACAACAAAATCTAATTTGTATATTTTTTTTTTTTTATTAATTTTCCTTCCTTCTTTTTTTTCATTAATCGTATACCTTCTTTCTTTCTTTCTCTTTTTTTTTTTTCTAATACTACTACAGCTTTACACAATCATCTTTGATCGAATAAAATTAAACAAATCCCCTTTCTCTAATTCACAATCAATTAACAGAAATCTCCTTTTTTGTACATCTCCTTGCTGATCGAACAAATGCCAACATGTTGATCCCAATCAACTGCCAGATAAACTGCATGTGATGATCTGATTTGCTTGTGAGCATGCTTGCAGAGCCATATTTCCATGGTAGAAGCCATTTATTTGGACTGGCATTTCCAATAGATCTACATTATGCGTTTGGGTTTTACTACATGCAATTTATTAGTGGCTCGTTTATTCAAGAGCGATTTGAGGAGCATTCCTGAGATACTCTCTCTTTTTTTTTCTCTATCCTGGATTGCAACTTTTGAACTAGTTCATTGCTGTCTTCCTCGATTATGTCAGCCTGTCTTTCAATGTCTGTCTTTTTCGCAATGTAGTATATGAAGCTTGGATTGTTTTCACGGGAAACTCTCTCGAACTTTGTACACCATAGCTGTTCTATCTCGGCGATAACCTCTATATGCATCATTTTTAATCAATGTCAGCTCCTGTGTACTTTTGAAACTAATAGCAGTAGGTTTTACCAGCAAAATGATTCAACCTAAATTATTAAAGCCATTAATAAGTAAATGCAAGCAGTGCGCTATTATATCGACTTTATACATACCAGACACTCTTCCCTAATGCTTTCACTTCTTCCGCTCTACTTGACATCAGTGCTCTATTAGATCGTTGTTAACAGTTAGTTGATTGTATATATAGACTCTGAATTGTGTGATGCCTACATGACCAAGTTGAAAAATAAAAGGACTGTAAGAAGTGAAAACAAGATAGCCAAGACCATAATCATGTAGTCATCTCCTGCATCTCCATCATTTATGGGATCCCAAACGCCAAAAATAAAGAACCATAATGTTGAGAAAGCTTTGAATGGGTTTCTAAAGTTATTGCTTGAGCTGTTATCGCTGTAATTTACCGTGCTCTCTGTTGATGAACCCAAATTATCCAAAGCCATAAAACCAGCATACTGTTCCTGGAAATAAGCGTCCTCTTTACGTGCTAGTAGCACTATAAAGGCATTTGTGAAGGCAAATATCACTAGCAGCATGATCAAAAGAGTCTTATAAACAGATTTCATCAGTTGAATGATTGTTTCCACTGTAACACCCTATAAATGCAGAACTAGTTTGGTATATCATCAACTTTCACACGAGGTAAAAGCTTACGAAAAATGCAATCGCTCTTAATCTCAAAACTCCATGTAACCAGAGAACGATTGTTGTTATTGCGCTCAGTTCATCCTAAGGTTCAATGCAACTTTAGGAAAAAATATTCATATCGAGAACAACAGCACTTACCAATCCAGGTCTGTCGGTCAGCATTTGCCAAAGATTGACTATTGGAAGTGTCAAGGCAACCAAATCAACGTAATTATAAAAAGAACAAAAGTATTCCCAGCAGTTGAATCCCATCTTGAAAAACTGGCGAGCCTCCTGGTACCACAGTAGACCGCATGAGGCCAGCATCAAAGCAACCGTAAGGACATGCTTGGCATCGCTTGCTATAGACATCCCAATAGTGTAGTCAAAAACTTCGCGGGCAAACAGTACGCCAACCGAGAACGAAATGTAGTACATAGCGTGAACAAAGCAGACTAGGATGAATCTGCATTTGATCTTCTTCTTCCACTTGAAATAAAGCAATGTTTCCAAGACGGTGTCTTTTTGAGCGAATAAATCATTTTCATGCTGGTTTAGGGCGAGTTGCATTAGAACGCTTTGCTTTTTGTAGGCGAATTTTCTTGATTGCAGTCGGTTTGCAATTCTTTCTTGCATTTTAGTCAGCAATCTAATCGGAAAGAGGATCAGCAAGTGATTTTTCGGTTGTTCTTCAGTCTTATCTGGAGAGACTCCTTCATTATTTTGCAGTTTTAGTAGTTGGTGCAAGAAAACCAACATAATCCAATAAAAAGTATTGTCGTCCCTGTTCCAATGATTGTGGATGTGTTCTTTGTCTTCAGTATAAGCATCGTAAGAGCAAAAGTATACATATGGTACAACGCAAACATCTATTTGACTTGGATGGGCGGTAGCTTTATAAAAAGCGTGAAGGATGTCACTTGAAGTATTATACTTGTGTACTGCGTACCAGAGTCTAGCCCGTATTCTTCCAAGTATCAAGCGTGCCCTGACGTTTCCAATAAGAGAGCCCCAATAAGAAATGAGCCGGTCTTTTCGGCAATAATCATATCTCAGTATTTGTTCATTTGTTGATTTGGGCTTGAGATCTGCAAATTCTGTCTTTAGATTCTTGTGCAATGTTTTGGAGGGCAATTCAACATCAATCTCCTCAGAGACTATGGACTGGGCATTCTGCTCAACATGCAAGAATTGCAGCTTCTGGCAGGTGCTTTTGAGAATGTCTTTTTCAAACATTAATACATGCTTTTTTGAGCGCAGGAAATTAGACGTACCAGTGTCACCGCGACTTTGAAGATAGATCAAGGAATCCGTCACCGCAGAGTAACAGCCAGCTCCCAGCTTTTGAGCATGGAATAGCACACGATTAAGTACTAAATTGTACAAAGCGAAATCCCGAGACTCGATGAGAATAGTTAAAGCGTTTTCATTTCGACTCTCAGTCTTGTAGGCATTATCTGTTACAGCCTGTTTGCTCACATAACTGAACAAACTGATTGGGAGTTCTTCGTCTTGAACAACCCGAAAAAGGATATCCCTTCCATCCTCGAACGATGCAAGCAATGCCAATGAGTTACTTCCAGAGGTAGTTGTGAAGTACCTTGACTTCTCCTTCTTCATTTGATCCACACAGCGTATAACTAAATTAATTGTCTTATGATATAGCTTTTTCGAATTCTGTCCATTATATACAGTATGTTAGAAAAATCATCGTCATCAATAAGATATAGATGTATGATGCTTTACCTGCGTTCTTTTGTCTTCCGGCATGAGTTGGATATATTTTAAGGCATTGATAGCGCTTTCTACGTAGTGATACTCGGTGCAAACATTATAGCTTTCAGATGTCAGGTTCCCAAGCGGTAGATAAATTTCCATTGATGTATCAGCAACCTCATCGTCGAAAAGCTCGCAAATTGAAATTGATAGCATATTCTCCAGATGAGTGTTGCAAAATGTGATACCAAGTGAGTCCCAATAGTATATGAAATCCGTTAGTGATGTAGCATCTGAATTATTGACTTCCATTACGGACTCTGTACCGGATTGAGTTTCTTGCCGGCTAGTATCTCTGTCTTCATCAATACTGCTTCTAGGCTCTGGCGTAGTAGGACGCGTCCAGCTCATGGAGGCGTCCCATCTGTACCATATATAGTCGAAAGGCTTGTTGGAATAATATACAGGTGCTTTGAATACACAAATATAAATTAGCCTGTCTTGAGAAGAATGCTCTTTCCTTGATTTCAAATCAGATACGTGCCATAGTTGCACTGTGTGCCTGCCAATCCGCATCACGACGTTCGGGTTTTCCTTTAATCTGAAGCATGTTGCGTTGCTGAAATCGTTTAGGTTGTCGACTAATTCATCGTAGCTTTTTTGCTTTTCAGACAGTGCTTCCGAAGTGGATAATGGTATCCAGTTGTAAGTGAAGTCGCCCTCATCGCCTGATGCATCTCTTGGTTTGAATACATCTAAATCCAAGCTTTGGAACTCGCAATCGTCGTTATCTACAAGTGTTGTATATAGTGCAGTGTATAGCGACCGAGTATCACCACATTTTTCAACAATAAACGGTCTGACATACGAGTTTTTAACCTTCCAGTTCACTTTGATGTCTCTTGTTTGCTTGATTATTGACTTTTCAGCTGCAATATCCCATCCTTCAAAAGTGATCAAGGCATTCTTGGAGCCAACCATACGCTTCAATGGGCGGACTTGTATCAGAAACAACAGTTTACCAGAGTCGTGAAATTGTGCGTAGAACATTTGGTGATTTAGATGATGTTTGCTACATAGATCATTTCCCAATGTTGTCCTCAGAGTGTTGGAGACTAAGCCGGTTTTCATGTGATATATGTTTACTAAGCTTGCCGCTTTAGAGAACGTCGCAATGAAGTTGTTGTCATCGGATAATGCAAGTGGTACCTCGGGCGTTGATGTCTGGAAGGACGTCAGCCGGCATCCGTTCTCAAGAGACCATACTCGTATAATATTCTTGTCGTGTGCTGATACCATCACATTGTCCTTCATAAATGCTGATAGCTGCAGATACGCCTCTGTAAGAGACGAATCAATGGGTTCCCCATCTGCTTGATGCTGATTGACGGATGATGTTCTGTTCAGAAGATGTGTGTCACTCCAAGAAACCCTTACAAACCCTAGTTTTGATCGAGCTGAATAAAATAGCGAGTTAATCTCATACCACCTTTTGAGATTGTAGGCATCAGTGAGATCATAGATCATGATTGTTGCTATTTTAAAAACAGCAAGGAGGCTGCTCGAAAGAAAAACAGCCTTTCCTTGTACCTTTGTTGTATTGTTTTCTAGTTCTATCTTTGCATTTCCATCCATTTGGAACACCACTTGGAACACCAAACACTTTGGTGCACAAGGTAAGTGTAGTCGCAAGCTTGACAATTTGGATAATTCCTCAGCTGGTAAAAAAGAAACTGCTACACGTTCTCCATTTGATGATACAGATAGGAAGTAGAAGTAATTTCCCATATCCTTTGGCATGTGCTTGGTAATATTTTCCTCTATAAAGTAGCCCGTCCCATCCAGAGTTTCTGATCCATCATCATAGAACTTATTCATTTTCAAGTATATCTGTTTGTCTACCCCAAGCGCGTCTGGCCTCTCAACTATGCTTGCAATCCATTTTTTGTCTGCTGAGATGTCAATCAAAATTGCTTTCTCAATAACGAGAGGTATTTTGTCGTCTCTTGATGTTGCTAGAGAGGAACTATCGGATTGCTCTTGGTCGTTTTGTTGCGCCAAAGAATTGCTTGTAATAGAAGCTACTTCATCCATGGGTATAATAGTGTCAGTTGATTGCCGATTTGTGATGGTAGGCTCGATGCTGTGCAGTAAATGTTGTACCTGAGCTACTTGATCTCCGTCTTCGTGATTGGCGCCTTGATTTCCTTCTGGCCTGTCTATTGCTGGTGAAATGTGTTCACTCATTCTTTATAGATGCAAAAGAAGGAAGAGCAATATGTAAGGCAATGCAGTTAGCAGAGGAATGTATATCAAATTTAAATAGGTGATACCTGTACAATGTAGTCGTTCTCATCTTCTTGTATTACAATAATTGTTCCATAACCGCTTTAGAAAGATTCACAGCAATTTAAGGCAGGAATACAATAAGGTATTGCTGAATATTCCAACCGCAGTTAGCAACAGCACTTTGTGGTGACTCAAGTAGCTGTATCCCTTGATGTAGTATTGCAAATATATTGGGCATATAACGCTGGTATATCTCTTGCGGAGTACTTGCGTAGCACGAAGGGTGTAAGGTCTAGCCACTCTAAATGTGACATGAACTGGTCTGTTCAAAATGTATCATTTTTGAGCTTGTTTATTCCTGACTCAACTAAATCATTATACATACTGTAAAGCATTCAGAAAAGTAGACAAACTAAAGAATTATGTACCGTACAAGGTGAATAAACCACCGGCGAAGTCGGTATTGGGGAGGGGGGTTTGGAGGAGGCGCTAAGCCTATCCATCAAGAGCATAACGCATCTATTTTAATATTTGGTAGCATTGGCCTATGAGACGGTTTTACCGTAGTGAAGTGAAGGTAAAAAAACCATGGCAACTAAGCATCTCACCCAACATTTGATGATATTAATCTTGATAAGTGTTTTACCGTAGCAAATTCGGTTTTTCATTTCCATCATTAATAAGCTTACCAACAACAAAATGCATCAAAATTTGCATGAATTAGCCTTACCAAAATTAATATTTCTTCTATTCAAATTAGAAATTGCACGGGCTGTAGAACTACCCTTCCAGAAGATTTCAGCTACCCAAGATGTAATTCATGCTGTGTAAATATAGTTCTAAAGCAAAACACAACCAAATTTGACAACTTTCGAGCCTTCATATCTTGACATTTAGACCTTTCTGAGCCACCGGAGTAACGCCAAACAATTGTACTCGAGTAGTAGTAACTTCCTGACACCGTTGCTCAACTTTTTGAAGACCTAAAAAACATGGCCAAAAATCGACCAAAAAGCAGGAGGGGTACCTCATGGTTTTCATCGAAAATCAACCGATCACGTTTTTCATCTTGAAAATGAAGACTTTTACTATGGCATATAGTAACTCAAAAGGTTTCTCTCTATCCAAAGCAACTTCTGAAATCACTTTTATGAGGTTTTCATATGCGAAATATGGCTATTTTCGCAAAAAACCTCGTTTCAAATTTTATTAACTTGCTCAACAACTTCAATCAAAACATTTATTAAAGTTAGCACCATTGGAAGCGCCTTGAAAAGTACTTCAAGAATGTATTAGGAAGCGCAGGGTGATCTTCACAGTTTATATAGTCGAAGATTATAAAACAAATCAAAGAAGTCGAAAAAAGACATGATCTGTCCAATCTTCAACAGAAAAAATAAACTGAGCTTGAATCAATTTTGGCGACGGCTTGCTGCTAGCTGGCCCAAACGCCTTTCTGATAATGACAATGATGATTGCGATGCTAATTAAATAGGAATCATGAAATAGAAAGGGCAATTGCTTAGCGCAAATATTTTTTTGGGAGCTTTGCCTCATGAAGGTGCCTTTTGCAATGACAATATCTCAAAAAAAAAAAAGTCGCTGTAGATCTTACACAAGCCCTGTATTTGTGCATAACCAGCTTTATGTCGCCATCTTAAGAGCAGCAGCAGCAGCAGCAGCAGCAGCAGCGAGTGGTATGACAATTCTAGTATCAGAAAACGGCGATTGTGATGTACAAATGCTGCATAAAACTTGAATTTTCTTTCACATTGTCCCAATAATAGGCTTCGTTTGATATCAGTGTAAGCAAAAAGGATGCTGAGGGAGATACCTCCTCTTCTCTTCCTCCTGGCTCTGCCATAATCTTTCTTTTACTAATAATTGATTGTTTAAAATCTGCCTGATATACCAAAATTTTATTATATCTGATTTAAAATGTCTTTGGCGAGAGCTTGCAGGGTGACACCGACATCGAGCGTAGCGAGATAGATCGGCTAATGATAAATACTATGATTGTCTTGTCTTGGCGAGGGGTCTCCGCATCAAATAAACCCATCAAGTATATATGAGTGAGGCAATAAAGTGTCATATGGGTTACAGATGCTAGCTTGGCATAGATGGACGGTAATCTTATAGCTAAAATTGGCATGAGCAAGGTATTGTCATTCAACATTTAAACCATGCTGCTTTTGGATATGCTATTGGAGATATTTCATATGCACAGACTAGTGGTTTATAAAAAAAAGTATTCAGGCAACACAGAGCAGAGTGTGCCAAGGCCCAGCTGGTCCCTGAAACATCTGATTGAATGGTTGAGGCAATGATAAGGTTGAATCGCCATTAACCCAGTGGCAGTTATCGGATAGAGAGTTTAGGGCCATGGTCAATTTGGAAAAAGGTGTCGAGTTCAAGACTAGTTTATTAGCAAGAAATGCGTAGGATGTATTGTATTAGCAATTATAAAGTAAATTAAATAAGGAAAAAAGTGCGTTGTATTTGGGAGAATATGTATATAATGCCAGTATTGGGTTGACAGTGAGTATATGGAAGATTCGTAAGCAATGAGTAAGAGGGGAGGGGGGGGGGGTTTAGTTGATGGTAGCAGCAGTGAAAAAGTTCATGTTATCAACAAGAACACGAACGTAATTGTTAACATTGGATTGATTGCCGGCAGAAGGAGCACTACTAGGTGCACCTTGATAATCGTTGATCAAGCGCTCCTCATCAATGGTCACCTTGCCCTTACCCTTCTCATTACGCACAATTGCGGCACTGCGACTGGTAGCATCGATATTAGAGCCCTTCAGATCCTTGATCTCCTTTTGTGTGATACCAAGATCATCCTCAGGCACCCAGATGGTAGGTTCAGGGTCGTAAGTCGAAGGGTGCATGTAGGATTCAGCTTCGTACAGTGATCGAGCAGCGTTCAAGATACGATCCTTGTCTTTTCTGATATCCTCGGGGTTCTTTTCTTTCTCCTCGTGAAGACGTTTCAATAATGCATAACGAGCATGGTAAGCTTCCACAGGCGTACGTGAATTGAATGAACTGTGAGTCGCCAATTTAGAGAATTCTGGCTTGTCGTTATTGATGTAATTGTGAGAGCTTGTACTGCCTTCTGATTTATCGCGTTCATTCTCTGAATCCACTGAATCATCAGAAACATAACCCGTCTTCAAGTTCTGCTTGTCGTCGTCTTGAATATTGATGTTGAGAACATTGTTGTCTTGCAAGAGATCGTCGTTCTTCTTGGTATCCATATCCACATTTTCAAAGATGGAAACGGGCAGATACTTGAACAGAGGCTTGAAAGCACAATCGTAATAGTAGAGAGCAAACGAAGTACAGATAAGACAAGCAATCATCAAACCCATTTGACCACGAGCACCTGATCTGATAGCGAAGAGGCCGATCAAGGTCAGTTGAGAGATCAGCAAGCCAATGTAGATGTGACGGATGGCTCTAGGGAAAGCACGGCCAGCTGTTTCGTAAGGAATTTCGTAAACATACAAGAATTGATACAGGTATACAAAGTATTGCAATATGAAGAAGAGACAGACAAAAGGCAAGATCAACGGAGAGATGACACCATACTCAAGACCAAGCACAAAGATGACAGTTTGAGCAGGGATCAATGTACCAAGATTGACAATAGGGCACGACTTTTTAGCATTGTAGATATCTCTGGGTGTGGTGTTGAACATGGGCATGACATAGGACAACAGGTAGGGCACCAACTGGAGCATGGCTTGACCAGATTGATTAGTTGCCTGGAGCATGACAAAAGTGATAAAGAAGGTAGAAGCCTTGGGCAAGTTTTCAGAGAGGACATTGATGATACCGAATGGGTTCTGGGCGAGGTTCTTGATCTCATTGGCCATTGTCATGACACCACCAGAGATAGTAGACACCAGAACAACATCAATCAATTGGAAAAAGAAGAACTTGTGAAGCACAGACAGCTGAACAAACGACTTTTGAGGGATGCCTTCCTTTGTGGAGAGGAAGGTGAAGATGATGGGCACTAGAGAAATCAAGATGGCCAAGGCAACAGCAGGCAGAATACCTTGAATGATACCGACAGCAGTGGGACCCAAGTTGTTGATGCCAGAGAGGAAGGGCAAAGCCTGAGACAAGGTCTCTAAATTGGCAATCGCTTGGACGAAAATCACAGGAGCAGCCCAAAAGATGATGATAGCAGAAGTAGCTGAAATACTCAAGAAACGACGCATCATTCTCTCAAAGGATCTAATGTTCATGTTCTCCCAAATGACGTCAGTGGGCGAGATGCCAATGGTGCGAGGTGCCATTTGCATTGCTTTCTTGTGCATCAATGATTGTGCTGCCATGTGGGCTGCAATTTGCTGGTTGAATTCAATGAATGCAGAGTTACATTGTTTCAAATTATGAGCGTCTGATTGTTTCTCGGCGATTGATTCGTTCAATTCCTTGATTTGGTTGTGGTAGAAATTGATGGTATCTACTTTGTGGCCAAAGCAAGGCAATGGAATAGGCAGGCTGTTTTCACGGTGAGTAGGGCGGATCTTTTCTGGGATATCGGATTGAGTAAGATTCTCTTCATCGACTTGGTTCTTCTTGTCTCCAATCTTGATGTGGTGTTTGTATGTGGCCAAGATGGCTTTGGTGATGGAGGCTTCCAAGCTCAAGGCTGCCTTTTGTCGCTTTTGCACAAGGTCAGGAAGATCTTTTAGTTTTCTGTTGAGCCAAATGCGCCTCACACCACCAGGGAACTTGGAGAAGATGCGCTCCAAATCTTCAGTATTGTTGACGTTTGTTGGGATGGAAGGTACGTAAACAGTTCGAGCAGCTACAGTTTCAGCATAGTCGGGACTGAGTAGGAACTTTCTTCTCAAATCGACATAAATGTGCGTCTCACGGAAGGTGTAGTACCATACAAGGCCTGAATGAACGTCTATCAGTATCAATGTATCCAGTGATATATATATATACCGTCCCACACTTACCAGATAAGATACAGGCCAACAGGCAGTGAGCCCATGTGCGGTTATCGTCAATGACATTACCCATTGTTAAATAGGTTAGACCAGGATTATTGCCTTGATTTATGGTAATGACGGGAAACAAAATAGGGATAGCGACAAGAGAGTACAGGGAAAATGTAACCATTCCCATTCGAAGTAACTTGAGGACCATAAATCTATCAAGACCCATTGATTTGATCAAGTCTTCGTCTTTGATTCTGAAGATGGCGATGATCCAACGACCAAATCCAGTGGGCAATGGAGGAGGTCGTCTCCTATTAGGTATGTTAATGACAATGCTTATACAGTTAGACAACAATAACACCTACTCCTTTGCTACTGCATAAGTTCTAGGGGCGTATGTTTGGGGTCTGGTTGTACGCAAAATGAAGAAGGCGCCAAAGAACCCAATGGCTAATACTGCATTGAACCACAAGGCTGACGTGAATGTAGATGTTGAATTGTCGAAACTGGACAATGAAAAATTTTATAGGTCAGTACAGGGTGGTAGATCAAATTGGATGGTGTTACTTTTTCTGATCATCGCCATTCTCTGCTTGTGCATAGCATGTAGTCGCTATGACGCTTGAGAATAAATAAAGTAGTATAAACTTCATTTGTTCAAATAGTGAAGAAGAGAAGAAGAAAAAGGAAACCCAACAAATGATACATTTTTTATACCAAAATGAAATAGGAATCTCCTTTCAAAAAGCGACTTTCATGTAGTGCGATTTCAGATAGGCAATGTAACCAACCACTTGCAAGAGAATTGCTCTGTGGTTTTTAATATAAACTTTGAATAATGTTGTAATAGCGCCGTCATAAATCAACACACTAGCTTATAATATACACATGTTGTTGGCTTGCTTTTGTGGTATATCAAACGATCCATTCATTTCGCCGCCAGAGTAAGGGGGTGATCCTTTTTCGCCGTGTATATGGACTTGATGCCTACTTATCAGTCATACACATATCCAGACAGCGGATGATTGTTCTATAGGGCATTCAACATTGCTCAACACATTTTTGAAGTGTAACGTAGCACTGTCCAACTTTTAAGCTTTGGCTGTCTCATAATAGGTTGCATCCGGGCACATCTTTGCACATATAAAGGTATTTCCCTTGTGATGATGCTCGCTCATCATCCAAAAAGAATATTTGATCCGTTGTGTTTTATATTTGTTTCTACAGTTTCAGAGAATGTTTAAACAATGTATATGTCTAATAAGGTTCTTGAAAGCCAGTGATACCGATGCTTTGATCAATACGAGACATGGCGAATCCATCCACAAGAATGATTTTTTTGATTTGCCACTTTTCACATTCAACATGATACACAGTAGGTGAAACTTGCCTTTTTTTCTAGCTTTTGCGATTCGTACGGGTAACAGTTTTTTTTTTAATCGAAAAAAAGGCTCCTTTTATTTGTTTATCTGTAAACTTTTGGACATGTAGAGACACATGCATCTGGATTGCATATATTGCATCAGACTGTTTATCTGTTGTGCTGGATGTGCCTCAAAGGAAAAGAAGCTTGTTTCTGATATCAAAACGAACGTGTGCCTTTAATTGATGGGAAAAACGTCTTTCGTTCAAGATGCTATGCAAAGGATCTGATCTCGCGGAGAATCCGAAATTTACGCCAAGAATGACTGTGTATATCAGAAAAAGATCGATTCAGATGCTAACTTTCTATCTGAGGTTGCACCAGTATTGATCTACTACTTCTTCTGCTCAATGTGATACAGATTGTTGAGAAGCATTCTCTAAATATGATGGCATCCATTGACAAAGATATACGTCAAGACAGGGCCTCATATTTTGTCAGATATTAGCGCCTACATCATTCACTTCACACAGCTTACGATGGTTCATGAGACTCTAGTGGGAAACTGAAAGATATTGAGTTACATTATATTTATGAATGACTCATGACCTCACTGCTGATTTAAGAAAAAAAAAAGCTGGCCGTAGTAGATGCCTAAAAAAAAAATCCACATATGAAAGGTATGCTTGTGCTCGTATAATTTTATCGAAATTCAAAAGTATGTGCTTTGCTCAAGTAGCTTCCAAAAGATGGGCTTTACGCGGGATTGTGAGATTTTTAATTCGAGTACAAAACTGAACCGTAAAAAGTAGTTTACTACACTTCAAAAATTGTATTTTCATCTGTCTGTATTTTCGAGTGTGATGTTCGTCGTGCAATCGCAGTTACACATCTTTTTGCTAGATGGATCCAGTTTCTTTGAGCAGTCAGACTGGTGTACCAACTACTTTCAATTCTGGTAAACAAGTAATCCTGCACTCTATCGCCTGTTCTATGGTAGAAGATAGTTTTCTCTGATTTTTGACTATGAACCCCAATGACAAAATATTGGCTTTGTATTGAACGGCAGGATGCTTTTCAAATCAAGTAGCAAGTGATGAAACTCCAGTGCTCAATGTAAAATGGCAGTTCTGGTCCACAGCATGATAGAATCTGTAGTTGCGCAAGTCGATGATTTGGACCATTTTGGCTCGCTGGCAGAAATTTAACACTCAAAACAAACTTGGGTAGATACCTTTCTAACAAGCTCTTAGACCAGCTCATTAATCTATTAGCCTCAATACCAATCTGTTGGATTCACAGGCTTGAAAGCAGCGAGGTATACATAAAACTCAACACTGGTATGGTGAAACTACAAAGTACATTCAACGGTAATCACTGCTTTTGCAACATTGCTGATACGAGTCTATTGCATCAATCATTGTATTTCTTGAAAACTACCGAGAAGACGACGAAAAGTTTCTCATCAGATACATACAAAATGTAAATGTAATGAATTTCCCTGTACCTGATTACACAGTTTGTAACAGCCAAAGAATCTCCAATCTTCCAGACTACCAAACGAAATTCTGCTACTGTCTTCATAAATCCCACATTATTGACCACTATCGATCTAAGCTTCAAATGAAATTAAATGGAGGCACCACCACCATTGTAACATACTTTTTCAAACCTCTGAAATAAGCTCCAGTGAACTTTGATGCAATTTGATGTACTGTATCTCGCTTTTACCATTGGTGCTTTGTTATATATATATTGCAGAACTCCTCAGGATGAATGATGATCTCAGATCCCTGATGAGCACAATAGGCACCCTTAAGCTACATAAAGTAAACCAAAACATGCGAGCTCTGAAAAAACACCATTGCATTCCAGGGTTCTTTGTGGCGGTCATCTATAAAAGCGGCCCATTATGGCTTAATTTGTTTTACACAATCAAACGCTATAAAAATAATTCTCGTGCGCTAGCTTTTCTCTGCTTGGTTTACTTTCTTATAATTTCTCTTTAAATTTCAATTTTGAAAAATTCAAGCTAGAGCTTTGAAAGTAGCAAGTTACTATGACAGTTTTTTGCGTAGAAAATGATGGTGCAATTAGATTTTAGATTGAAAGCGTTGATGATGAGGAATTAGAGATTTGAGAAATATGCAAATTTTGGACAGATGCTGTTTGTAAAACTTTTTGATTAGTATATAAACTTGGGTCATGTGTCTATTAAAAGTTGTAGAGAATACGTTAGTTGAGTAGAGCATGTTTGACTTGAGGTTATTTGAGGACAATGTGGATGAGTAATGAGGAAAGATAGTAAAAATGAATAATTTTCAAAGGGCTGTACCGCTGGATTTTACTAAGTGAACGCGAGGCTAAAACTTAGTAGTTTTTGTTTCTTTTTCAATTCTCTATACAATGGTATGGTTATTATAGGATAGTAAAAAAAGTTTTGATTATCCCCTGCTTGTAGCTCATTAAATATAAGATTTTGAGTGAATTCATAAAGGGAAGATACATCTGGCACCTAAAATTCTTATATTATAGTGGATATAACGTAGAGCTATTGAATGGTCTTTGTTTTGTGCGAATCCAGTGAGTATTTGCCGAGATATGATCAAAGAAGGGTATCATGCAAAATCATGGATTTTCCTTCAAAATCTGCCTGTGGTATAACAGGCAAAAAAATCTGGTGACGATTTTTTGGTCAGCACAATATTTTCAATATTTCATGATAAAATCATGCCAGAGCTTCAAGCAATAGCTCATCCGATAGAAAATTTGTTGGTCTACAATGTTTAGTAATGCTTAACAAAATGTTTTGATGACAGATACTGATTAATCTTTAGAAAACAGTCAAAAAATTGCAAAAAAAATCGTACCAAATATCAGGTGAACAATGTACACCAGAGACTTGATATGGGTACCATTGTATTTTCCTTTGAATTCTCTACAAGTTTCACGTAAGTTTGAAGGGGTGTTTACTATCAAGAAACACGTAATTTTAAGGTCGATAGATTTCAGAACCTCATGGATCATCATTCAGAATATTAGAAATTGAAGCTCCATTGACCTTCCGCATGTGTACACCTCACAAGTGTGCATTTGACCCAGCATTTTAAAAATCGGAGCGTACGAAAAGGGTCATATTAACTTGTTGGTTTCAAGTTATCAATAAATACTTGACATGATGAAGAATATTGCTGTTGAGACTAGACAGTTGCAGCCAACTCTGTGTAGTCATAGTACAGTCATCTTGTGCTCAATTTCATGCAACAGTGTGCAAAGTGATATATTTGCGAATGCAGCCACATCAAATATCTGGGCCACGGAGATACGTGAATTGGTTTAAAGCGTGGAGCTTCTCGGTGGCCACTACACCAGTATTCCTAATGCGGGTACCAGCACCAGCTTACGACGTCAATTGAAGTTACAAGAATGCAGCTGAGAGCTAGGATTCCTTTGTAGTCTGTCAAACATCGTCTTGAATCTGAATAGTTTGGATGTATATAACAGTTCTCGCGAGGACACAAATATTAACACATCGATGCCTTGTTTCTCGAGGATCTTGTCACACCCAGATTCTCCTATTTTCTGTGCATGAAAAAAAGTGCTGATATGCATCAAATCTACGGCAATGTTAGATGCCATCTCCTATTTCCTGTTGCAAGAAGAAAGCAAAAAAAAGAACTATCAAAGCACTACAGCAAAACGTCAGGACTATTATGAAAAAGGATGAGCTCTGTTCCATAAACCTGAAATCTGAAGCTTGCAAGAAGGCCAAGTACAATTGCAAGGCTGGACCTATCATTGGAATCTCTCCTGGATGCTCTGGATCAAAATGAATACTTGGTAATAATCTTTGTATTGTAACAAACAAAATTAGCTATACGTAATTACGAGACGTTTGAAATAAAAGTCGATATTATAGTTTAAACTAACAAAACTCGTCTACGATGGCACCCAATATCTTTCAGGGCATGTAGACGTTGATTATATGCAATGTCACATTCAACAGCGCTTTAAAATAACGAGTGCAAGCAGAATATTTTTTTTTTCACACTCCCTTTTTCGAAAGCTTTTCATTCAACTCTTTGTACACAAGCATGGCTAGCCGTTCGCGTTCATCGTCGCCCTATTATAGAAGACGCTCACCTTCATCGCCAAGAAGAGAAAGATCTGGCTCTTCCAGACGCCGTTCTCTTTCGCCTAGAAGACGTCGTTCTCCATCACCCAGAAGGCGCGATGACAACAACGACCGCAAAAGAGACAGAGGCCGTTCAAACGAGAGATACAGTAGACGTTATTCACCCAATGGATATCATAGACAACAGAGAACAACAGACATTGATGGCATTACCATTCGTCCAGAAGAAAGCTATACTGATTTGTAAGTAAACCTCATCATACTCGCCGTGTGTGTCAAATGGATTACTAACACTCATCATTGCATTAGTCGCACACGGGTGAGAAATGAATCCACAAAGACCATTTGGGCGCCTTCACCTGAGCGTGCTCGATCCATGACACCTGAAGATAGGCCTCGTAAATCGAAAAAGAGCAAAAGATATGACACGGACAGCGCAACGGATTCATCATCATCAGAGGATGAACGTCGCCATCATCGCAGCAGCCGCAGCCGTCGCAGCAGTAAGCATAAATCCAGCAGAAGCAGTAAACATAAATCCAGCAGCAGTAGACACAAGAGTAGTAGACATGGCAGCAGTCGACACAAGTCCAGTAGCCATCGTCATAGTAAAAAGAAGAGATACAGCTCATCTTCATCCGCATCATCATCTGAAGAGGAGGACGAGAGAAAGAGGTCATCCTCTCATGAAAAATCAGCACTGGAGGTAGATCAATCACAACTGGACCAAGTGCAAGATCTTTGGGTTGAAAAGCAAGTGGACTTGCCTGACGATTTAGCGCCTGTTGGACCCGTCCCCTTGGCCGAAAACGAAGACAATGATGAAAGAGCGTATGGTAGTCAATTATTACCGGGAGAAGGCTCTGCCATGGCAGCCTATGTCAAGGAGGGTAAACGTATTCCTCGTCGTGGTGAAATTGGACTGAGTGGAGACCAAATTGCCGAATTTGAAAAAGCAGGTTATGTGATGAGTGGTAGTCGACATCAGCGTATGAATGCTGTGCGTCTTCGAAAGGAAAATCAAGTTATTTCAGCCGAGGAAAAGCGATTGGTGTTGCAACATGCACAGGAGCAAAAGATCAAGCGTGAAAATGAGATTATTTCTGGATTCAGAGAGATCCTTAGCGATAAATTTAAAAAGGAAGATGAATAAATAAAAAAAAAAAGAAACGTGTGCTACACACCTGCAAAGGGGGAAACAAACAACATGCTCGAATTCTCCGTTTTTACTATAAAAAAACCCTGCAAGATCGTCATTGATGATGATGATTCCATTTTCTTGGCGGTTAATTAATTCATCCTTGCTGCTGTTGGCTCTTTTGAAGCTACTGGATGTTTCTGTTTTCATTTTTTCTTCTTTCTTTCCTATTGTTTCTCTTTTACTTGATATCATTATAAACTACACTATTAGAAATGAGATACGTGCAAGTGTGCAAAGCACTTTACGACTATGAATCTCGAACCGAAGACGAACTAAGCATCAAAGAAAATGATATTTTGTACATTATCGAGAAAGAAGATGATGATTGGTGGCGAGCTGAATTAAAGCAGCAGAATGGAGAAGACCAAGGCCCTGTTGGATTAGTGCCTGCCGACTATTTAGAAGAGGTAATCACTGAGGATTAGCAAGTGAAGCGAGAGAAACACTTACATCATTCTTATCAAGGTTACGCCAATCGGTCGAGTGCGCGCAGAATTTGATTATGCTGCTCAGCAAGAAGAAGAGTTATCGTTCGAGGAAGGTGATGAGATGGATCTACTGGAGCAGGATGATCCAGATTGGTTTCTTGTCAAATCCAAGAAGGGTGAAATTGGATTGGCACCAAGCAACTATGTGCAAGATGTAGACAACCATTTTGAAGAAGCCCAAGAGCAACAGCAACAGCAACAAGACCCTATTCCCACACCACCAGTCGTAACACAAGCATCCATGGCTGTTGCTCCTCCAGCTCCTCCAGCAGTTCAACCCATCTTGTCGCATACTGTAAGTTTCCTCTATATTAGCACTTGGAGAAATTGTGTCTGATTACTATTTTTAGACTGGCTCAACCACTGCTACTCGAGAAGTCATTGCGGATGATGCTCAATCTTGGAACGTTCATGAGTACGATGCCGCTAAAAAGAAGAAGAAGAAGGGAAAGGGCAGTTTATTCGTCGGCAATGGCATGATTTGCTATGGCAGCGAAACCGATAAATCCTTGCCGGTGCAACAATACCCTATTTTGGATGTAACAAAGTATCTCTACGACGGTAAAAACTTGCATATCGAGATTGATGGTGCTAAACAAGCAGTACTGGATCTTCAAGCCTCCTCCAAATCAGAGGCCAAAGCCATCTTGGTCAAGATTTCGGATTCGACACGAGCCGCTCAAATGTCAAACACCCATTTGAGTCTATCCAGTCAGAAACAAATCGCTGCTCCAGCTCCTGCCATTCCTCCCATGACATCTTCGTCATCCTATGAAGCTGCTGCTGCTTCTCCATCACCACAGGCTCATTATGATGAACAGGAGCAGGATCAAGAAGAAGAGTCAAACTGTGTCCCCAAGTGGGGTATCTCCATCTATTCTTTCCAAGCTGAAGGTGGCGATGAATTGTCTGTTGAGGAAAACGAGCAAATTTATGTTTTAGACTACGAGAGAACAGATGGTTGGTGGCGTGTACAAAAGGTGGATGGTGATGTCGGTTTGGTGCCTTCCTCCTACGTTCAATTTGACGATGAAGAGGGCAATGAACAAGAGCATGATCACTCTACTGCTGCTGGTGCTGCTGGAGTGGGTGCCGCCGCTGCCGCCGCTGTTGCTGCCTCTTCTCGCAATGACAATGTAGAGGAAATCAGAAGAAAGCGTGCTGAGGAGGAGCGTGCCTTGCAACAACAACGTGTTGCTGAAGAAAGAGCTCGCGAAGCACAACGACGCAAGGAACAAGAAGAACAGGACAGAAAGAGACGCGAACAGGAAGAGGAATCGCGCCGTCGTAGAGAAGAGGAAGAAGCGCGCCGTCGTCGTGAAGAGGAGAGACAACGCGAAGAAGAGGAGAGGGAACGACGTAGACAAGTTCAAGAGGCTGCCAAACGTGCTGAAGCTGCTCGTCAAAAGCAATTAGAAGAAGACTACAAACGCAAAGAAGCCGAACGTAAAGCATCGCTTGCTCGTTCAGCCTCCAAGACGCGACATCAAGATCTTCCTAAACCAGACCCAACAAAGATTAGAACATGGACAGATCGAAGCGGTTCCTTCAAGGTAGAAGCTCAGTTCATTGATTTTCACAATGGTAAATTGCGTTTGCATAAACTGAACGGTGTCAAGATTGATGTGCCTGTGGAGAAGATGTGTGCTGAAGATGTGCGTTGGGTGGAAAATCATACAAGAAGACCTAGTCAAGCTGATGATGAGGTTGCACCTGCTATGCCTCCTCGTCCTCCTCAACAACAACAACAACAACAAGCTGCTCCACGTGCTGCTCAACCACCACAAAGGAAGCTTAATGAAAGATGGGATTGGTTTGATTGGTTTATGATTATCGGCATCCCTATGCAGCAATCACTTCAATACGCTGCATCCTTCAAAGCAGAGAAACTCGACGACAGTGATATTCCCAACTTGACGCACAAGCAAATGAAGATGTTGGGCTTAAAAGAGGAACACGTACAGCGCGTGGAAAGATACATTGAAACTGGTCAACCTGAAGAGACAACAGAGGAAGAAGCTACCAACAAAAAGAAGGAAATGAGTCAAATTGAAAAGGATGAAGAGTTGGCTCGAAAGTTGCAAAAGGAATGGGAGAGTTCTGAAGGCAGTAACAAGGGAAAGGGTGAGTGAATCAAAGGCATTTAACGTGTGTTATCTTATGAACAAATCAATCTTGTTTTAGCACCCTCTTCTTCGAATGCTAGACCTAGACCCAACGTGTCTGCACCCAAGGATGTGCATCCTGATCTATTGGACTTTATCGGCTCTCAACTAAGCAGCTCTTCCACAACAGACAATGCCAAGGGCAAGGAACTTGAGAAACCCAAGGGCGATTTGATTGGATTCAACGATGATGCTTGGGCCCCTCGTGTAGAGAGCAGCCCTATCGCTGCCATGTCACCCATGAAGACAGCCCAATCCAGCAATGCCGTGGTATCTCCTGCTGCTCCTGCTGCTCCTGCTGGACCTACACCCGAACAAATCAAGGCTGCAGAAGCTGAACGCAAACGTATCCAAGAAGAGGAACAAATCCAAAAGATCCAATTGATGAATCTACAGCGACAAGCCAAGGAGCAACAACAACAATTGGAGCAACTGCAGAAATTGACACAGCAGCAATTAGAGCTTCAAAAGCAGTTGGCAATGCAAACAGGTACACAGCAGCAGCAACAACAGCAGCAGCAGCAGATGTTACAAGTGCAAGCTCAACAGCAACGGCTTCAACAACAGCTTGCTCAACAGCCCCCTCAACTGCAACCCTCGTTTGCTGCTCAACCCACTGGCTTCTCTGCTGCTCAGCCTACTGGTTTCAACGCTTCTCAACCCACGGGCTTCAACGTTACCCAGCCTACTGGCTTTAGTCCTCAGACAACTACAGGTTTCCAAACTGGAGGCTTCACTGGTCAACAACCCACACCTGCTGCGGGTCGTCAAAGACCTACACCATCACACAGTCTTCCTTTAGATCCATCCCTTGGTCAATGGCAACCCAATCAACCTACTGGATTCCAGCAGCAGCAACACCAGCATCAACAACAGCCCATGCAAACTGGGTTCCAACAGCAACAACAACCACAGCAACCTATTCAGCAAAACTCATGGCAAGCGCTTCAACCTCAAATGACAGGTTTTCCTGCTTCCAGTCAACCCGTTGGTGGCAGCAATTATCAACAATCATTGCCTCCACCATTGGTACCTTCTTCCACCGCTGCTGGACAGCAAGGGCTTCTTTCAAGATCACACACCATTGGTGTCCAACCTACAGGTAGACATTGGAACAGTGCTAGTAAGTTCAGTGGTATGAATCACTCTGATAACGCTGTTTAACACTTTTTTTTTTTTTTTTTTTTCAAATTGCAGCTCCTGACAACCCCTTCGGATCTCCCACTTTATCTCCACTGCAAGCACAAATGACAGGCGTTCAATTCTCTACACCTAGTCCTCAAGCATTCCATCAAAGTCCTTTACAATCTCAACAACCAACTGGTTACATGCAACCTCAAATGACCGGTTTCCCTCCTCAACAACCGCCACAGCAACCAGCAGGTAATAGTATTTTTACTCCTCAAGGTTCCATGCAATGTAAGTGTAATCATCTGATGATGAGAGTCATTTGGATTTGACAGCTCATGTGTGTGTTCATTTTATTTAGATGGCCAATCTGCTTTCCCTAATAACCAACGCCCTTGGTAATGTACGACACTCATTATTTTTCAATATTCAATAAAGATAAGGGCACTTTTAATAGGCCTTAACATCTATATGGCCCCACCCTCTCATCGCAACAACCAAATCCTTTTTGTTTTACTTTTTTTTTTTTTTTTTGTTTTTTTATTGATTCTAGTAGGTGAATGTTATAATACACGATTTCGATTAATTCTTCTTGTCCTTCATAAAGTTCATGGCCTTGATAGATTCTCTGCTTTGCTTTCTATGATATTGACGGTTGACAGGTTTGGTTGTCTTTTGCTTTTGTTTCTTTTCATCTAGTAAATCCCACAACCATTCTGGATATTCACTGTCGTCCAATGCAACTGGATCTTGCTTGTCTTTTAAGTATTGAATGCCTTTCAAGACGGTACCCTTTGGTGCTGAAGAGGGTTTTTTTTGTGTGGTGGCTGTGCTGGATGATGTAGATGCGGATGTGGTGGATTCTAACGGTTCATTGCCATGTTAATTGACTAGGGTCCCCACATGCTTGGGGATCTTTTTCGTTTCCTTACCTGATGCAGCATTACGGATGATAGCACAAGAGTGGAGATAGCTTGCACGTGGTAAGCTATGTTGGAGAAGAGGTCTGGAAGAACGTACAAGTGTGCTCAACATTTCAAATATACAAAGGAGAGAGAAGAAGAAGGGTGTAAAAAAAACTCAAATGTCGGGGTAAGGGATTTTCTTCTACTCCTTGGTCCATCAAACCCACTACTACCCCCTTCAAAACACTGACTCCCGGTCACAAACATGTCAAAGGCAAAATGTCAAATGTTCTCTCTCTCTCTCTCTCTCTTTATTCAAGCAAACGCTTAACAAGTCGTTCCAATTTCTCAGTCTTCATGATATCGTAATGATCTCCCGTCAACGTCATATCGAGTGCTGTATTTTCATGCTGCAACGTCTTCAAATGCTGATCCATCACATGAGCTTGATCGTTATCAATCAATGAATCTTCAGGACTATGAGCAATGATGATGGGTTTCTGCTTGTTGAGTGCATCTGATGATTTGCTGATAGGCGATGCTTCATAAAATGTGGTTTGATCTGAACCAAATGCTTGCTCAATAAAGTCGAGATAGGAAGGGAAGGTCTTGACCAAGAGCGGTATATCATAAATGCCAGAGACACCAATGATACCAGCAATGTACTGATGATAGGGTAGTTTGGTATCCAACAGCAACATCATGGCGATATGAGCGCCTGCTGAATGACCCACCAAATAAATCTGCTTGGGATCGTATTGCTCGGTAGGATGATTGTACAGATACTCTACTGCCTTGCCTACATCGATGATATGATCAGGATGTTGAATTGTAGGTTGCTTGCCGTTTTCTTTTAAGCTTAATCTATGTTGCATAGGTTGAGTTATCTCTACACCCCTCCACCCATGTCCATAACACGGTTTTACCTGTAATTCACTGAGGCACATGCATATCCCAATTCACTGAAACCAGTACAGAGCTGCTTATAATCCGCCTTGTCTTCTGTTCGCCAAGCACCACCATGAATGAATACAATCAGGGGAGAGCTCTTGCTTGCTTGAGCGGGAAGATACAGGTCAATGGATCTCGCATCCTCGCCTTTGATAGGGCCGTAACAATGTGTAAACGTTTGAGTGCTCATCTATTTTCTCTTGTGAGAAAAAAAGAAAAAGAAAAAGGTGTACAGAGAATCTCGAGATTGTGCAGGCACAAATGCAAGCGGACATCATAGTCTGCAGCGATGATCTATGATTGATTTTTCAAGCAATAAGGGCGTCAAATTGGCATTTGTAACGGTATGTTGATTGATGCTACTGCATTTATGGTTGCAACGCATACAGCGCAGCCCCTAGCACTCTACAAGGTATATTTGATGCCTCACATGCCTGGACATGAACAACCAATCCACCAAAAAATCAATTCTATTGAACATCTCGCCACAGTCTCGATACATCTGACCATATCTACTGGAAACCACCACAAACTAGCTTATAGAAATGCACATGTTTTATTCAAACTTTGATCTTTTTGCTTGTAGCTTCCTGCTCCTCCTGATTTTTACGCTTCAGCTGTTGCTGTTTCTGTTGGTTCTTCTGCTTGGGAGGAGGTCCTGTGGTCTTCAATGTCTTGATTGTCGCATCTGATCTGTAAACGACCACAGGCTGTTGTTGTAAAGCATTTGTCAACCACGGTGCATCGATGCAAGGTATTTCTTGAGCACTCAAACGTAACGATTCCTCTTTATTCTCCATGATCTTGACAACGGACAGTCAGTATCAGCAACTTCCTTCCCCTCCTCGCAATAACTCACCTCTGCAAGTACAACACATGCCCTCTTGATGCCTAATGCTTGGCTCATCTTGGACTCGGCCTCTGCTGGCATGGGTACAATCTTGATTTGGGCTAATGCAGCCATGTATAATAAATGCTGGCATAACTGCAATGGCTTGATCTCTCGTTTACAGATATAAATGACAGGTGTCTTATCCACAGGTTGTGTGCTTGTTTGCTTCTTTTCAATGTAGGCTTCCATGAATCGAGTAACTTGATTTATGCCGACATGGACACGATCATGTAAGTCTGGCTTGGGTATCGCTGTGGATGCTGATTTTTTGTCCTTTTTCTTTATGGATTTGCATTCTTTCCTATAGCTGCCTAGTGGCGTTAAAGTCCTTGTGTCAAATTAGTACAGATGAATGCAAGCGACATTTGATTATTCCTCTCTCTCTCTCTCTCTCTCTCTTACTTTACAAGCTGTGTCAAGATGGTCTGACCCAAATCAGTATGAACATTGGGCCATTTCAAGATGAATGGCGACGCTACTACGTTCTTGTAAACGGTCTTTTTGTTTTGCACAGCTGTAACATGGCGCACGTTTTTGACATTGGTGTATACTTTTGCTTCAGACATTGGGTGGTGGCAGTGAAAGAAACAAAGAGTAAAATTTTGATGAGTTTCTCGTGACAAGTTTTTATTGTGGTTGTTTGCAAGTTGAACTACTACTGTAGTGGTGTATTTGATATAAGAAAGATGAAGGTAAAAAGAGTGTGTATATATGTGTATAAATGTATTAAATTAAATTAAAATGAATATAAAGGTTTTTTTTTTTGTTTATAAAATGGTACAAAGTCTCTTATGAAGACGTCTCATATTTCCAGCAACAGCAGCCTTTGTTGCTGCTTCAATCACCTCATCCACATTGATCTTTTGCATTGCACTGCATTCGTAGTACTTTGCACCGATTTCTCGAGCCAGTTGCTCCCCCTACATATGCGTTAATGTACCTGCTCAGCACAATGAAATTCTTTCTCTGTCTCTATTTTTACCTCTTCTTCTGTAATCAGTCTTTGTCCAACTAATCCCAATCGTCGAATCTCTTCCTGATTTTGTCTGAAATCCAGTTTTGTGCCAACCAATAATTTAGGTACATTTTCACAAAAATGGGTTACTTCTGGGAGCCATCTGTCTTGCACATTTGTAAATGATGTACGTAAATTAATGGCAAAGCAAATCAAGACCACATCGGTTTCTGGATATGATAAAGGTCTTAATCGGTCATAATCCTCTTGTCCTGCTGTATCCCATAATGCCAGTTCTACAATCTTTCCAGTGTCTAACGGTACATTGGCAATGTAATTTTCAAATACAGTAGGCACATATCTCTGTAGTATAGAAACATCAGCCTGGGTGTTGGGGACGAATGGTCATTTGCTCTCTCTCACACACACACGTACCTGAGGAAATGCCTTTTTCTGATATACAACGAGTAGACTTGTCTTTCCACATCCACCATCACCAACAACGACCAACTTTTTACGGGCAACCTAGAATCCAAAATGTATTCAATGTCGATCCTTTAGGTGGAGAGATGTGCCAAGGCTCAACTACTTACACCTCGAGTCATGATTTTCTGTATGTATTTTTATAAAATGAGAGAGAAAGAGAAGAGAGAAAGACGGAAACCCCAAATTTATGAACCCAACGCACTCTTATATTTCAAAAAAGAAATGTATATATTTGGAAAAAGAATAACAACCAAAAAAGTAATTTGATTGTATATAAAGGCAAGTATCACATACAACACTCCATTTTTATTGATTCTCCTCTGTCGATTGCTCTCGTTCTTACCGTGTGTGTATCCTGCCTCTGCTCCCTCAACCTCCTCCCTTTTCTTTTTGTGTGTATATATATATATATGTGTTGTCTCGACTCATTTTTTGTTACTAAATCAAAGAAATGGTGACAAAAAAAAAAAAAAAACTCCTCTTGAATACATGAAATTCAAGGTACAGGTTTATTATTGTAGAGTAGAGGATACAGCAGTGCTTTCATCATGAGCAGCAGCGGCAGATGATAAGCTTTGACCTGCTAGAAGAGGTGCTAAACTACTTAGATCAATTGATCTCTCTTGCGCAAGTGGTGCAATGTCTTGAAGGGCGGCAACGATTTCACGTGTAGGCGGTTCTTGTAAATAGAACAGGGAATTAATATGTCTGCAATATATAAAACTGACACCTAGAACTTACTTGATTCACACAAGATGGACAATATGCCAACCACCAACGTTTCGCCACCGGGGGGGAATTCGCGCACCAGTTGAAGCAAATCCTGAGAGCGCATACCGATCGCTCTTACCATGTTTACCATTTGCGATCGAATGTAACTTTGCACAGATTCGGATGCTTCGATGTATACCGAGAACAATCTAAAATCAGAGATCAATATGATGTCATGCCCATACAGCATTTTTGTATATACGCACTCTTTTAATAAGCTTGGCCTCTTGGTGCAGAGCACAAAATAAAGTTCTGCATGTCGAACAACATCCTTTTCTGTCCATGCAGTTGCCTCTTGCTTCTTCTCCTCTTGGTCCGTTTCCTCTTCCTCGGGTGCTTCTTCTGTAACAGCATCAGTCGGGCTCTTTTCACCAGTCAATACATGCAATGCCTCTATTGAAAATGTTTCTACTCTATGATTGATGTCTGCTTGATTGGCATTCCACTTCTTGACAGCGACAATGCTTGTTCTTCTCATTTTGTCATTCTCGTTGGTACACAAATCCAGCAAGACTTGCAGCGCCATAAATCGAACAGTCGGTCTATTGGTGATCAGACTACGTAATGTGGATACACAAGGCACAAATCGTTCAGGCACACTGTCTAAGTTTTGTTTGACCAAATCGATGGTCTTGTCGTCCAATTCAGGTGCTTCCAAGAGTACCTTGGTCAGGATGCGGTCTTTGGCATCCAGAGTAGGAATAGCTCTTTCTAATAGTTTATGAAACCAGTAAAAGTAGTTTGGTATATAGCCAGCATCGAGTCGTTGGTTGCGTTTGTCCAGCAGATATTCTTCATGCAACCATTCTAGCGCCAGATCATGTCTCGATGCAAATTCCTCGATGATGAAATCTAATAATAACTCTCGTAAATCGACTTCCGTGTCTTCCATAATAACCATCTTTTTGTCGTCCTGCTCCTCGGTTGCTTCTGTCATATCTGTGTCATGTTCTCGTTTAAATTCAGTAGGCATGTAATGCATATTGGTGCCTCGTGTGATGAGCTTGGCTACCAATAGTAACCAAATATTCTGGCTCTGCGATGATGTTGACAATGTGCTACTGCTGCTGGTGGTGGTGGCGGTGGCAGTAGTGGCGGGTACGGCGGATGAGGATGGAGTAGATGCGGGTGCTGTACTGGTTGTGGTGTCGTTGGAGATGGCCTTTCGTGTCGTGTCGCTGAACGCAGTGTTGGATTGGAACGACTTCTCGGCTTGGAGAATGCGTTGAACCGACATCTTTAGCATGGCCTTCTTATCGCTATCACTCAAATGGGTCTCCTTTGCCAACTCGTACGGCTGCATCCTCAGGGCTTGACTAGCGCGCTCTTCCACGCTCGCTAATACTTGTACCTTGGGCTTGTCTTCTTGCACATGCTCCTGTGCTGCTGCAACAGCAAGAGGTTGAGGTACAGCAGACACAGCTTCATCCATGTCCTCATCTGAATCCAGCTTATTCTCCAGCTTGACTTGCTTTGCTGCCTCTTGCTCCTCCTTGATCTTTTGCTCCTCCGTCTTGAATCGAGGGTTGGTATTGTACTGAGGCTGATGAGGTGGTGGTGGATAAGGGGGCGTTGTAGAGCGCACAAAGCCTGGTCTTGTCACTGCCAATCTCACTCCCTCTGCAGGTAACAAGGCGACTCTCTCTGACATGACCTCGATAGGCACCGCCTGTAACACTTGCATACACAAGTTCACAATGCCATGCAGCGGGATCTGTGTGATATCGTAATTGACAAGCATGTTGGGTGATGGAGGTGGCAACACATATTCTGTAGATGTTCTGGCTCGCTTCTCTCTTTCAGCGTCATGTTGCTGCTGCTGAGCTGCTCTCTTTTGACGTCTCGATTCTTCCGCTCGTTGATGTCGCTGGAATATAGCCACGTTGCCTCCAATCGATCCAAATGCAGAAATCAGTTCGGAGCGCTGTGATGACAGTGCCTCTGTCTTGATCATGGATATAAATGCTAATTTCAGCGCTTTCTCGACGTTGCGTATCATGACGGGAGAATCGTCCTTGTTGGATCTCGACTTTTTCCATGCTGTGAATGCGCTGACAACGGGTTTTACATGCTGAGGTCTCTTTTTCACAATCACGGTCAAGCAACTGATGGTAGCTGTCAATATAGATCTATGCAAGCATTCAGTTAGCGTCTTCTTCATCATCCCCGTCTTCATGTCCCTGCCATACTCTGTATCCGACTTTAAGAAGCCTATAATCGTATTGAATACGTCTGCTGCTTCTTTTTCCAATTCTTGTGCATTTAATAGTCGATGGTCGACTCGCAACTAATTCAAAAGAGTGAGACAAACTACGAGACGCCTCCCTTGTAGATACTTACCTGGGATGACTTGGACAGTAGCAGAACAATCACTTGTAGACATTTGATGGCAGTAATGCAAACACCTGTATTAGCATGCTGAACCAACTTGGTCTCTACCAATGTCATTAATGATCGGGTGAGTTCCCATAGACGGGTTTCTGCTTCGTTCTGGCAACTGAATACATTGTGAATATGATGAAAATCATGCTACGTTTTACGCTTGTTGCTTACACAGTTCTATATAGCGTTGGCAAGATGGTTGAAAAGGCTCTGATCGAGTCCTTGATAATCTTGAGCTCTTCCTTGTACTGATCCGTGCCATCGTCTTGTTGTTCCAGCCCATATGCCACAAGTTGAGTGATGGATTCCAGAAAGCCTTTTGTTGCATAAGATTGGGCGTTTTCTGGATTGAATTGCACTTCCTCGTCAAATGAACGTAGTTGTGTCAGTTGTTGCTCTCGTTCCATGATCAACGCGTATATGAATTGCTGCACTAAAAGTAACAAAAGACAGATAAAAGTGTCTACAGGTAAAAATTTCTCTTTTGTATATATCTCTGCACGGACATTCAAAACAGGATGAGGTTGTTAGGTTGCTGTTGATGTGCTAGAGTTCAGCTCAGTGGATTATGCAGGGCCAGAAGCTGCTAGAGTAAAAGTACTCGATATTTCGCATGACAGTGCTGTAAAAAAGCAGAAATCAATCAAATAAATAGATATAATGTGAGTGCATCCACCCTCATATTCAGTCAAAATCTTCCATACATGGCTAAATGCCCTACTTGCTGGTAATTGTCCAAGATATTGTTCAATTAGCTCGCCATCAAGCTACTGGATTTGTGCAAATTTACGATAATGTACCAGTGTATTTGTTGTTTGAAATAGTGTACAAATAAAGAGTAGCTACTATGAAAATCAACCAAACCACCTAGTTATCCTCAATGCTCAGTAGAATTTGGTCAAATTGAATAGCATTCTGCTAAGTCTCTCGAGCATCTAAAGCCTTGCTGATTGATATGAACTTACATCCTGGCTAAAGTTGACACTTCCAATGGCGATATTGCTGTTTTTGATTATTTCGCCTTCTTCTGTTCTGGCCTTTCTGCAAGAAGTTTAGCCTTTGTGGGCTATATGATATAGAGCTGCGCGTTAGTTTGTATAACCATCTATTGTATGCTTGGCTACTAATTACAGTCAATTTTTCCCAGTCTTTTGTATTCAGTACAGACAGCTCCTTGAGGTCATAGAGGCTTATACTGATGAATTCTGGAGCAGTAGGTGGTCTCACAAAGACGTTCTCAAATAATGCCGAGTTTGTCCAGCGTATCATGAAAGAGCAACTCCTTCATCCTTCACTATATTGAGTAAACTGGCTACGGAAATAAAGCTGGCCATGCGTAAATACTACAGGACTTGCATAAGATTTACAGCGTCTTTTTGAGAGATTGTCATTGCAAAAGACACCTTTAAAGGGAAACGATCTCAACAAAAGCAAAAAAAAAGCATTAGAGCTAAGTGATTCTTCTTCAGAGTTCATGATTCTCATTTAGTTAGCATCCTAATCATCATTATCATCACCAGAAAGGCATGTTGGTCAGCTAGCAGCAGCGCCGCACGCTAAAATTAATTGAATCTCAGTTTATCTTTTTTGTTCAAGATTGGACAAATTCTGTCTTTATTCGACTCCTTTAATTTATTTTGCGAAGTTCGACTATATAAACTGTGAAAATCACCCTGTGCTTCCTAATACATTCTTGAAGTACTTTTCAAGGCGCTTCCAATAGTGCTAACTGTAATAAATACTTTGACTGAACTTATTGAGCAATTTGGTAAAATTTGAAATGAGGTTTTTAGCGAAAATAGCCATATTTTACATATGAAAGCCTCATAAAAGTAATTTCGCAAGTTGCTTTGGATCGAGAGAAACATTTTGAATTAATATATATACCATAGTAAAAGTCTTCGTTTTCAAGATGAAAAACGTGATCGTTTGATTTTCGATGAAAACCATGAGGGGTGGTACCTCATGCTTTTTGGTCGATTTTTGGCCATGTTTTTTAGGTCTTCAAAATGTTGAGCAACGGTGTCAGGAAGTTACTACTACTCGAGTACAATTGTTTGGCGTTACTCCGGTGGCTCAGAAAGACCTACATGTCGAGATATGAAGGCTTGAAAGCTGCCAAATTTGGCTGTATTTCATACATTCGTTTGCTTGCATTTTTATATACAAAGATTGCTGGCTAGATTTACTCTGTACTTTAGGTTACATTTTTAAATCCCATTGAGAACAGTGACTTTACTACTGTGAGCGAGGGGAACACTATTTAATTTTCATTTGTACATCAAACAGCAGAAGAAAACGTCAATTTGCACACTGGTCACTTGAAAACACTTGGAAGAACATTGCCCCACGTATAATGCTCATATTGCTTGAGATTTATCCATACAAACGTATTCATATCCACTGGCAAGCTGTAACTGTTCATGTGGCGTTTTTCTAACTATAGCAGGGCCTGGTGTGCTGGGTGCTCTCATTATATGGTTCAGTGTCTGGTTTATCGCATAACCTTTGCACAAATGCCCTAAATTTTCAGCCAAGATGGCTGTTTTCTAGCCATTGACAAGAGATACCGAGATCCACTCTATAATGGAGGGGTATCATGACATTGAAAAGTGACAATACAGTATGTCAATTCCTGGTTTGATAACGGCTCCAATAATTCAATTTCATTCATCTCAATTTTTCGACAAGACTTTTACTATGTTTTGTCTTGCATTAAAAGCATATGTCAGTGACTGTTCAAGCACTACGATTGCAACATTATCGCTAGCACTATACTTCTTGTCCTAAATCATAAAAATGGAATATACTATGCTTCAAGTGAGACGATTGAAGTGGACCATTATGATATAGACTTCCATGCCGTTGCGTTCTAGTAATATATAATCCTGGATCCGTGCAATGTTATAATTATTTGAAATTCAAGCAAATGTATATTTATCCTTCACCTTGCTCACATAGCACCTTTCAATATTGACCCTGTAAGAAGACCAGATCAGATTAGATCAAACTGCAAGGCTTCTGTATATATTTAAAACCAATGATAGCATGATTCTATGTGATAGCATCATGAATGAGGTAACGACACGTTTCATCTTATAGGAGAGAATGTCTGCGCCCTTGTGAAGGTAGTTTCATTTTCACATTTTTCTCCTTCTGTCCATTCTCAGAGATTGTACTACAAGCAAAAAGCATATAAAAGGGCCCTTTGATCCTATGGATCCCTCTTTCTTCACAATGGCAATTGTATATCAAGTTGTACTTAACAATGCACCATTACTAGAGACTGTGCCTGATGAAATCATCATCCCTATCCTTTCACAATCCTCAATTCATATCAAGGCATTAAGGACATGTATGTTGGTATTCCCCAAAGTACATCGAATCAGTCTCTATATTTTAGAGTATTATTGATTGCCTGCCACCCAATCGTACCTGACGAAAGATCAAGAAGGCAAGAGTAAAGTGACCGTTCGATTCTGATTTAACCATTTCTGCCCAGTATCTCTGACCACATTATATACATCTTATCAACCCATGGCAAGACGCTATTATACAGACAAAGTCTATCCAGTCGTCCACTCAATGTCAGTGGGCGACGCTAGCTGTGATATTCAATCTTCATCTGTATCAATCACATTATTCACATCAGGTATCTTGATTGGCAGCTTCTCGTCCTCCTCATCATCATCAACATCCGTTGCTAAGCAACCATGCTAAAGAAACACGCCTTCTGATTTAGCTTCCGTGTATTACCATGGTAATGCAAAAAAAAGCTTTCTGCACAGAAAGAAGGCTCTCATATTCTTCAAGCATCTTCACAGTTAGCCGATCAGGAATCATCATGAATACACGTAAACCTGAATACTATATGCCACCCATCAGCATCTCTATTGGATTCAAGCATCTGATAAAATTGACGACGAGAAGGTATGCACGATCTATCATAGTCGAAGATGAGATTGTATTGGCATATTATACAAGCTGAGCACTTTACATTTTAAGCAGTAAATATTGAGTGTTCTGCTTTTACACAAAATAGTAGGTCAAAAGACTAATACTGTAGACTACTCTTTAACATATTTATTGAAATAATACATAATATGGTGCATTACGGGAGCAAGTACCTTTTTTGTCGAATAGCCTGGCTATTCAGCGTCTTGAGTCTTGAGCTTATTAACGCTTTAAACATCTCGACATAATCCGTGTCCTTGATTACTTCATTTTTCAATATCAACAGCGCTATCTCAACTGCCAACTTCTTTCCTTTGGCTAATGTCGACCCCCTTACTCTTTCAACACTGCCAGATATGGCATTTTCATCCATATTACTCAACTCCTTTCCATTGAAAAGTATAGATTTTAACTTTTGCTTGTCCTCTTGATTCGATACTTTCCAATTCAACAATAGCGACCCAATGGCTACAATGCTGTCAATTCCATCTAATGCATGCAAGCTTAAAGCACATGCGGTGCTGAAACCGTTGTCGTAGAATCTTTGCGATTTCAAATGCCAATCGAATCCACTTGCTCTCTTTGTGAAATTTCTTAGCAATCGGGATTGTCTGACTACTGGTGTGGAGGCGAGAGGAACGCAAACTCTCCAATAATCATTGAGAGCTAAACGATTGCCAAGAGAGGCACCGAGAAAAGCATCAAAATCATGATCGTTATAGTTACCACAAAGGCAAGCAGTAACCAAAAACTCAAAGTTTTTGAAGTAGATTTTGGCTTCGAGCCATTGATTCTGATACTCCCTCTTGTGTTCTACTACGAACTTGGGTTTTGAGGGGTGTTCAATCGTGATCGTGTTGTTTGCGCAATCATCTATTTCTTTTCTGCCTCTCAGGTAGGCTTCGACCTGTGTGATGAATGCCCACGAGCCATTACTAGACATAGCGATGCTTTCTACGAAACGACCGCCGACGAGCGCCACGAACGCATCTGCCTCTGCTTTTGATTTGGGTGTCTCAGCGATGTTCAGTATTTCCTCAGCATCGGCAAATTCATGTTTTTGCAAGATATTTTTGAGAGCAGTGGGAATGATACTTTTTGAATGAGTACCAATTGCACCAAACGTGCTCTTAATGTCTTGTATCTTGCCCCTAAGTTCAGCAACATCTTCTCTTACCGGAGAGGGGGTCCTCATTCTTCGTCTAGCTTCTTCTTCTACTTCTTCGTTATCTTCGTCTTCATCTATGCTAAATCTTCTCTTCAATACGCTTACCGATGGCCGCCACATAAATATTTAGAATGAAGCCTGTCTGGATGTTTGGCATTACCTTCTTAGATTGACTCTATTCTTGCATGAATGAGAGATGGCCTCTTTAAAGTAGCTACGGTCGCCTTGTTGCACATACACTACTAATTTATGATACTGTCTTTTCATAGGTAAACACTGTAAAAGTCGTTTAGCGATGCCGGCTCTCAATGTGATCTTTTCACAAGAGAAAGCTACACTTTCAAGTTGATAGAATCTACCAAGATATTGACGTAGATTACTGTAGTACTCAAAGGTGTCATTGATCAACACATGAACATGTCTTGTATTTGCCAGCATAAAGGAAGCGTTGACGAGCTGGGTGGTCTCTACGTCCCAAGTACTATCAAGTGGAATGTGACGAATGTGCTCCCACATTGATTTGCTTGTGCTTGCTAGTGTATATGTGTCCTTGCGATTGAGATTAGGAACAATGACTTCCCAAATATCAGGAGGGAAAATGCTGTAAGGCTGTTTCGAATTGGTATCCATGTCAACGTCAAGAGATATGTAGCAGAAGAAAAGGACAATGTTCATGTATGCAAACAAACTCTTATTTTACTGATAACATCTCAAGCCTCGACATATTTTTCTCTGTATAATTTCGTGTTTTGTGTTAATCCCTTTACACTTGATCCATTGTGGTGTTACCATCCAATTAACTAGCTATCAGCGATTGGCCAATATACTGTTTCAAACTATGTTTTCTGCCCTCCTTAAAACCTTAAAACCTTAAAACACACCCCAATATGTAAATAAACTACTCACGGGCAATTGTCTAACCTGCAAAAGAGTTATAATCGATAGACGGTATACATGCTATTCAATAGAGAGAACATTGCACATTTTGCAGTTGATCTCATGTCATTTATTAAATCAAATAGTAGTTTGTGCAGGAAATCAGTATATGTAAAATTAAGGAGTAATCTTTCTATCTGAAACAAATACTATTGCACTTTCCTTTGTTATCAAAGCCAACTGTCTTTGATATTAACAGGATTAACCACGAGAAGGTGAAAGTGCTTGTAATCCCAAAAAATGGAGGTGGTTACAGACAATAGCCCCCCAGCTAAACCCTCATCTACCAAGTAGGAAACTTTAGCCGTTTCGTAAGTGACGTTCTTACTAAGAGCGTTCTAGTACCATAAAACAGAAGAGCATATCTCCATATCCTCAAAGTGCCTCCCGACAATACCCAATAGCCACATAAATCATCGCGAGGACACATTCCTCTGGAGCCGTGATAAGGATGATGAAAGACAAGCTCGACCATTTTCCTCGTTGTTGAAAGAAAGAGAAAAGGAGAAAATGAAACTTTACGAAATTTATAACCTGACACCCCCCCCCCCAGAGAGATATGCGTCGTGCTACCATTTTAAGTGTTTCAAGTGTTTCGAATCAAAGAAACCCATGTTATGTAGGATTGAAATGATAGTAATGAAATCTGCCTGGAGCCTCATATTGTCTTCTATAAAATTCAGTCTGAAATTACTTGTACGATTCAGCATGAAGACAGATCAAACAATGCCAACATTTCATCACGCCTTTCATGCTAGTTGGTTTATTTAGTCAATGGCACTTTAAATTACTTACAGAAAATATATCCAGCCAGATATTGTAATGATGTTTTCGCACAAAAAAAAGTACCCTTGGAACGTTGGCTGATGGCAGTTTTTACAGTTACGCTTCATAATAGCGTTATTTCTCTATAAAAAGACTTTATATTCAACACTCGTATCAAATAGATACGTTTATTGAGATAAATGCGACTTACAGATTTTCCAAGATACATGCTCGTCCTTTTGATCCAATGCTCTTCATGACAGTAACAATGAGTCAAAAGCTACAGTGCTATCAATGCTATCGGAAGCATGCATGCTTAATGCACAAGTAGTGCTATAGCCATTGTCGTATAGAAGAAGGCGTGGATGAGGGTTGATTCTGTTGTACCTGCTGTCTTTCTTCATTCATGAGGTCCATGGCAAAACGGTAATCAGAATGCTTCTCAGCAGAAGTAATCAGGGCATATTGATTGTACTTGTCGCAAAGATATGTTTCACCTAGTTGTTCCTGAGTATTGTATCTGGAGTATAACCCGCCTTGTGCCTTGTTGCTGCTACGGTAAAGCCACCTTATAGGTCAATGTTACCAAATGTTAAATAGATGCGATAGAACTTTGGAGGCACAAATCAATATTTTTTATACAGTATTTACGTTATCTAAGACTTCTGGTTCTCTACATCCTCCATCCGAGTCGCATTTTCTGGCGGCAGAACTGTGATACTATTCGCGGACGCTGTTCTTGAGATGGTGACACAGAGCTGGCCATGCTTAAACACAGGACGTTTATATCTACAGCAACTTTTTTGAGATACTGTCATTACAAAAGACACCTCAATGATGTAGAGCTTCCTAAAAAAAAAGTACTTGGACTAAACAATTCTCCTTTCAATTCCATGATTCCCGTTTAATCAGCATCGCAATCATCATTGTCATCAACAGAAAGGCATTTAGGTCAGCCAGCAGCAATGCCGCCGCCGCCGCCAAAATCGATTCAAACTCAGTTTATCTTTTTCTGTTCAAGATTGGATAGATCATGTCTTTTTTCGACGTCTTTAATCTATTCTGTGACATTCGACTATAAGAAATGTGGTTTTCAGACTACGCTTCCTAATACATCCTTGAAGTGCTTTTCAGGGTGTTTTTAATGATGCTGATTGTTACAGGTGTTTCAAATGAACTTATTGAGCAATTTGGTAAAATTTGAAATGAGGTTTTTAGCGAAAATAGCCATATTTTACATATGAAAGCCTCATAAAAGTAATTTCAGAAGTTGCTTTGGATTAAGAGAAACATTTTGATTTGATATATGCCATAGTAAAAGTCTTTATTTTCAAGGTGAAAAATGCGATCGTTTGATTTTCGGTGAAAACCATGAGGGATACCTCATGCTTTTTGGTCGATTTTTGGCCATGTTTTTTAGGTCTTCCAAAAGTTGAGCAAAAATGTCAGGAAGTTGCTGCTACTCGAGTACAATTGTTTGGTGCCATTCCGGGGGGGCTCAGAGAGGTCTACATGTCAAGTAATGAAGGCTTGAAAGCTGCCAAATTTGGCTGTGTTTCATACATTTGCTTGTCAATAAGCGCGTTCTTGTTCTGATACAAAGACGTAAAGACATTGTATACATTGATCTAGGTTTAGAGCATGCTACTACACCCAACTATTTAGCCAGAAATACTAAGTTGAATGGCACTGTTGTCTCGCTGTATCATAGCACAATAATACAGCCTATTAGTGAGGCGATGACGACTGTAAGACAAGTTGGACATTTTAGACGCAATAGATAGTCTGCATCTAGTAAAATCTAGACCGCGAAATTAACTGAAATATATAGGTGGTCCATAGATGGATGGCTCAAGTCACTAGCTGGTCCGTATCCCATTCAAGTTACAATGTCTAAGTAAGCCGAGTTCACAGAATAGAAAATGCACAGGGCAACATCCGTGGCTCAATCCAGTTATGACGGCTTCAAAAAAGACAGTTTGATTACAAAATCATTCAATAAAGAAGGGAAGATGAGAGAGTACATGTAATGACATGCTAAAAATCTGTATTGGGAGCACATGCAGTATTTTCTTGACTTTGATGAAAACAAGGATGAAGAAAAGGATACAGATGAGTATACAGAAGTTGAAAGGAGGTAATGCGCCACATTTTGATGAATACAATTGTTGTTTCCAGGAGATTAAGAGGAACAGCATGTACATTATGCGCACGAAATCTCATGACGGGTCATTTATTCAACATGACCGGGCATTGGCCAAAATGGATATTTTGCTGGTTGATCAAGGTGTTGACGCAAAACTTACAAGGGCCAAGAACACCGCTGCAGAGAAACGTACGAGACAAGACAACGAGGCTGAGTGAATTGAATAGCGAATATAGACTGCACAAGCTTGCCAATAAATGCATTTGAAATACATAAAAATCTGCAGATGTTATCGGTTGCTGAGACAGGGCAAAGTGAAACAAGGAATGTTGATCTGCTACTACCTTCGACCCCTGAATTTTCAAAACTTGCTGTTAAGCACTCCTCCCCTACCAACTGCCGAGTATAAAACAGTATACAACTTGTTCGTATATGGAAAGAGTTATGTATCGTTTTAAAAGCTTATTTTAATTTAAATGTCTAATGGATCAATTAAATGATTTTCCTTTTCATAAAATTTAATAAAATGCTAGGTGCAATTTGGCAATGTGTCACATGTAAAATAGAAAAAAAAAAAGAGAGAGAGCGAGAGAGAAAAGCTAACATATTCATAAAGGGCACAATATAGCAGCGCCAATGGCCACACGAAAACATCTCATAGGGCGAGACCCACTCACATTGGATTCCACAAATAGAGGTTCAAATGTGCAATCCGTTTGTGTTCGTCATACATGACGATGTGTAAAGGAATTATGAATTGATCATGATAAAAAAATATAAATTTGAGACAAGATGTATATACAACATATCAAGATGTTACATTGGGATGACATAAACTGAGCACAATGATTTGCTTCTGATGCATCTATGAAATACTCACTCCTTTTTTCATGCAGATTCCGATAAAGTCATTTTATATATTTACTTTGTGATCAGTGCTTTGCATCTCTTGTTGTGTGTATTCAGCACGCGCGCACATTGTAACAGTTCTTTTTTTTTTTTTCTGGGACATTTTAATTAAACGGCTCATCATTCCCCTGATGAATAGAACCATGACGACGAATGTAGACCTATTTCATTAAATGTTGATACCTAATGTCGGAGCGGTGCCAAATGGGTACATGTGCAAAAAGGTGTTTTGCATCAAGCTGAAGTCATGGTCTTCTTTTAAGGCAAGTAACAAGCAAACAGACAGCAAAAGAAGCCTTCCTGGAAAGAAAGAGCAGTTAATGAATCAACAGTTACACACATTTATCAAATCATAAATTATTTAGTTCTGTTTCCATGGTGACACCGAGGTACTCCGCCAAAAGACAGATTTATTACAGTAGTAATCATCCCTTTTTACTCTTTCTCTCTTCTCTCTTCAACTTTACTTTCCTTTTCCTCCCTCCCTCACACACACACACACACACATATACACACACTCACCTTTTTTTTTCTCCCATATCAAAAAGGCATCTTTCGTCTCTTTCATTACTCTCCTTTTTTAAAGATAGCATTCAACATTTGATATATAAATCTCAGCAATACACACTACTATGACCAACATGATTGTCTACGCCATTCATAATTTTGAAGCAGAGAACGAAGACGAAATTAATTTTCTAATTGGAGAGCCTATTACTGTATTAGAGAAAGATGAAAAGTATCTAGATGGATGGTGGCAGGTGAGTAGAATGAAAAACTTGTATTTTTTTTTCATTATGGTTGTATGGAAAAGGAGCTTATAAACAAAAAAAAAAAAATTATAAAACCAGGGACGAAATATCAATGGCGAGACAGGTCTCTTTCCTATGAACTACACTTCTCCCGAGAAACCCATCCTTCAACAACAATCCACTGACACTGAGCATTTTGAAGCTGAAGCTCCTCCACAACATCCAACCATGACATCGCCACTACCACTACCCCAATTAGCAGCCAACAGTTACATACCCAGTCCACATTTATCCTCTCGTTCATCTGGATCCACTATTGAAGACGAAATCGACGACGCATTATCTCAATTACAGAATGCGACGATGACGGCCACTGTAGCTACACCAGATACCATGGTACATGATGTTCGTAAAGGCAGTTCCCAAAAAGTGGAGAGTTGGGATGTAGATCAAGTGGCAGACTGGCTCAAATCTGTTGGATTAGATTCTGTGTCTAGAAATTTTATTGGTAAGCCAGATTCACGTTGGCCATATTAATATAAAACCTGACATATGTCCATTCAGATCAAGAAATTTCAGGTGATATCTTATTGGATCTAAACATCGACGCTCTAAAAGAACTTGGAATCACGACATTTGGAAAACGCTACAAGATTATGCAGGCCATTACTTGTTTGAAAGAGGAATCTTCTGTGGAGGTAATGAAGCGTTATTCTCCTCGTTTTTCTGTCAATATAAAACAAAATTAACCCCTAACTTTCGCTCTTATAGATTAATAAACCCACTCCTAATACATCCGTCTCAACAAGTGCTATTTCCAGACCAACAAGCAGAAAATCCATCACTAGTCTCAAACGATCCAATTCACAAAATGACTCTTCATCAGACATCTTGTATCAGTATCCAAGAAAAGCACCTTTGCCACCAGGTGGAAATTCATCTTCAAAATCGTCTGATTTGATGCGACCCATATCACCTCAAAGTCTGTCTTCGTCAGGCGTCAGCCGATCAAACACATTCAATACAGTGTCATCTGGAGGAACATTGAAGAGTAGGGAAATGAGTCCTGATCCAAAGGGATTTCGAAGCCCTAGACGAGTGCTTTCGCAAAAGAGTCAACAAACATTTGATAGCATAGATAAAGAGCTTTCTCAATCGCAGATATCTGCACACACTACCCCAATTCATGCAGCATCATCCATCCACAACACCAGCAGCATCCATAACCCCAAAAACGACTGGATGTCAATGAGCGATGTTGCTAGTACGCATTCTTCTGCAGCCAACAACAACAACAACAACAACAACAACAACACCCATGCTGCCATGAACGTGCATCCCTTAAACACACCCACAGCCTCTTTGTCGTCGTCAAGACAGCCAATGTAAGTTGCAGAGCACTTTGAAAGTGAGGAGTCACTATCCAGAGCTAAACAAACAAATGTTGTCCATTAGGCAAATCTCAAATGCACACAAATTATCAGTGTCGTCATTTGAGGACACTTCTAATTTGGCAAATCGACAATCCACAACAGAAGCGTTCCAAGCGCCTGAACATGAAGGGTGGTTACATAAGCAAAGTGATAAATACAAGACCTGGAATAAGCGTTGGTTTGTACTCAAAGGATCCAATTTGTTTTATTTCAAGAGCCCCAAGGTAACAAACAAGATACATGCGATGCTGCTGACATGGGTTATATAACGCATATTACTAGGATGTGCGTATGAAGGGCATCATCAATTTACGAGGCTACAAGATTATTGTGGACGAGACAATTCATGCTGGAAAATACTGCTTCAAGGCTCAACATGACAGAGAAAGAACATTCTTCTTTTACACAGACACGGAAGAGTCAATGCGAGTGTGGCTAAAGATGCTCATGAAGACGACCATTGCACGCGATTTCAGAGGTTAGTTTTGTCCTTTTTGTCATACGCTCAGGAGTTATTAAATGTTAATATCTCTCTTGTGTAGCACCCGTCATGTCCTCCAATCACATTGCCACTGTATCTCTGGACGTAGCTCGTCGTATGAGACCAAGACCTCCTTCAGTCATCATGTACAAGAATCAAAAGCAGCTGAAAATCAACAATGATCCTAAAATGTCCATGTTGGAGGAAGAAGAGGAGTCTAATGTTGCAGCTGTGGATCAACACGCATCCACTTCACCCGTCCCACAATATAGACAGACCCGTGAATCTGGTATCACCATGTATCAGCAGCAGGGCGAGGGAGATGAAGTGGAGGAAGAGGTTCCCCAGCTACCGAGCCACTATCCTACACAACAACAGCAGCAAATGCACCGCCAAATGATGCTTAACGATGAAGAAGAAGACTTGATTGATCCTCAGCATCGCAGTCTGCCACTGAGCAGTTCGCTGAGCGTGACATCCAGTATCTCCAACTCAAACAGCGGTGATGAATGGTCTAGCGAGCAATACATCAATTGGATCAATGCCTATCTTCCTGCTGGTAAAAAGGCCATTGATCTTACAAGCGCTTTCCGCAATGGCGATACCTTGATTCAGCTTTTGGAAGCCATCAGTCAGAAAGAAGTGCGTAGACCTCCTGTCCAAAAGGGCGGATCCATGAGTGTGATGATGCTTGATAACATTGTTGCAGCATTCAAGTTTATGGGAAGAGAAGGCGTTGAAGTTGATGGTCGTTACACTATCAAGGGTAAGTAGAATGCAGCACGTGGGTGCCATTCGGTATACTGAGCTGTTCTTGCGTAGATGTCTTTGGCGGCAATGAGGAAAAGATCATTACCATGTTGGAAGCCATCAAAACGTGGGCAGATCATACGTATCCCATGAATACAGCAGCAATCAAAAATGACATGATGACCCCTCCTCCTCCTCCTGCCAAAAAATCAGATACATCCGTCTTGATTGGCAAAGACAGTGGATGGAGAGGCTCTGCCATGATGGATAACCGCCATACATTTTCAGACGATGGATTCTAGCCGCACACAACCCTACAAAATTACAAACATTCTCTATGCCACCATCACTATCACCACCACAACCATTCCTTTAAAATACTATTATTATTATTATTATTTTTTACAACTACTATTATTTCTTACTGTTATATCTTACTTTTTTTTTTTTTATATATATACACACATCGCCTGTCCTCCTTCCACCTTCCTTTTTATTTATTCGCCCGTTAGAATCTCACTGCCCCCCTTACAGCACACACATACTCACACTCACTCAAAATAAACCCAATTTGTTGAAAATGAGCAATCGTCCGTGACATGGATGCTGTTTGATAATGCGCTTCTTTAATAGTGTCATCTCGATAGACAGTATCAAGTTCCAAAATGCACTCTAATCCAAACGTATGGCAATAAGAGCAAGTTGCGGGATGACACTGCTGCTCATTTGATTGATGGAAATACAATAAATCTAAAGGGAGTATGAAGGGGATGAAATGACTTGTGGAAAAAACGTGCGTACCACCGTCGTCGCTTCAAAATCGAATGCCAAACACAACAGCATTCTTTTTTTTCATTCCTTTTCTCTCTCTCTCTCTCTCTCTCTTTCATACATTTGTATAAAACTCCAAGAGAAATGAACGCATTCTCAAACTTAAACCTCCAAATCCCTGACATGTGGGAAGTCAGGGTATGTGTACCATCTGGATTGATGATAGCATTGTGCGCTAACATAGTCTCTCTTTCTCTTTCTCTATCTCTCTCTCTCGTCTCTCATTTGACCACATATAACAGGATGTCATTAACAAAGTGTAAGTAGGTTGCTGGCTACTTATTACCACCGAGCCTAATGTCTTATTACCACCGAGCCTAATGTCTTATTTCGTAGTAAAAATGTCGTCTTGAATTACACAGAAATGGAAGCCAAGGTGCACGATGCAACAAACAACGAGGCTTGGGGAGCATCCAGCACAGTGATGCAGGAAATTGCACAAGCTACTTTCAACTAGTACGTACATGATGAAAATCCCTTTTTGAATTGCATATCTCACATTCACCCCCACTAGTCAATATTTCAATGAAATTATGCCCACCATTTACAAGCGTTTCACAGAAAAGGAAGCTAAACAGTGGAGACAAATTTACAAGGTACAGCTTTCCTGTGTCTGTGTATCACCCTGTTGCTCAACATTCACCATGTAGTCCCTTGTCCTGTTGGAGTATCTCGTAAAAAACGGTTCTGAAAGAGTAGTCGACGATGCTAGATCTCATGTTTCCATGATCAAGATGATGAAGAACTTTCACTATGTCGATGAAAAAGGCAAAGATCAAGGCCTGAATGGTAAGTCGCTTATGGATGAACTCTATATGAAACAAGCGGCCCTTCCTCATTGTCGTTTATTCCAGTTCGTAATCGTGCAAAGGAGTTGGCTGAGTTGCTTGGTGATGTTGATTTGATCAAGGCGGAACGCAAAAAGGCCAAGAAGAATCGCAACAAATACACTGGTGTAGGATCAGAGGGAGGCATGATGTTTGCTTCTGGAGGAGGAGGGTTCAGCAGTGGTGGCCTTGGCAGTGGCAGCAGCAGCAGCATGGGCGGTGGATCTCGTTATGAGGGATTCGGAAGTGACTCTAATTATTCATCCGGGGGAGGCGGTGCAAGAGGATTTGGCAGTGATGACTACAATAGCTCAAGCTACGGAAATGGAGGATATGGCAATAGCAGTGATTTCTTTGACGATGAGAGACCTGGTCGATATGATGACGATGATTCGCCATCTATCTCTAGTCAGCGTCGTGGCAGTAAGAAATCTGATAGCTTCTCTTCTTCTGGTCCTCGCAGAGCCTCCAATGCCAAATCCACATCCTCCACATCCAAGCCCAAGACTGCCAAAGAGATGAACTTGTTTGATTTTGATGAGCCTGCTGCTACAGCAACATCCTCTACCAAGAAAGCCAATGACGATGATTGGGGAGATTTTGCTGAGGGAGATGGTAAATATGAAGATGTGATGGCATTCGCTAGTAAATTCTAACCCTTTTGGAAACTAGACGATTTTGATGATTTCCAAAGTGCACCTACCAACACACAACATCAACACACAGCATCAGCACCACCTCCCAACCCTGCTCACACAGCAACTGCAGCAGCACCTAAAAAGTCAAACGACATTTTTGATCTTCTTGGAGACGATAATACATTTACTTCATCTTCCACATCATCTCCTGTTCCTCAACAACAACAGACACAGCCACACAACTTGATGCTATCTCAAAGCATTTCGTTCGATACACTGGTCGCTGGGAACAGCTCTTCTGCTGCATCTTCGCCTGCAATTCAACCCATGCATGCTGCTGTCATGGGTGGAAGTGGTCGCCAAACACCTGTCATGCAACAACAACAACAACAACAACAACAACAACAACAACAACAACAAAAGCAACCTTCCACTGATAATACCCCCATTGGCGGCATTTGGTCTCAAGCTTCTATTTCACTTGGCTTGGATTCTTTGGGTAGTAAACAAGCACCAGCTAAACCTGCTCAAGGTCCTTCGATGAATGCATTGAAGAACAATAGTGTGAATGCAGGTTGGAATAACTGGGCTTCTGCAAACACGTCTCAGCCTCAACAACAGCAACAATCCAGCGGTAAACAATCGTCTGCATTCGATGACTTATTGTTTTAAGTTTATTTGTTTGAATAAAGTTGAGGGGTTTTATTTATGTGTGCAATGTGTTATGAGGTCAGAAGGAAGCGATGAGGACAGCTACTGTGAAGTGATGATTATGGATAGAGTCATTCTGGGATAGATGCTATATACAGTATATAAAGAGATTGTGTAGATGCAATAACTAAATGTGCTTTGATACTCAAATATGCTCTGAGTGGTATAAATCCTTCAAGAGTGCAATCTCCATCCCTCTTTTCCAATGGCCAAGGCTTTCAATGGGTCTCTCACTGCCAGGTTTTAGTTCTACGAGGAGTGCACCGAGATCAAGTTTCAAGGTCTCTAGAGATTTGCATACGATGACTATGCTTGGCCATCTAGCAATAGATTTTGAGTATTCATCGTTGGATATTGCCTTGACCACAGCGGAATCACCAGGTGTCAAAGCGTAATAGTGTTTTTGGTTGCTGGATAAGCTAGTTATCTTCAAAGAGACCATCTGGTGTTGCTTGATGCTGATATTGCTAATAATCTTGTCAAGCGCTTCATTCAGTTTTTTATCTTCATGTTCAACATCCCCGAAATTATCATCTCTCTCCCAAATCCAATACTCAGAATTGATGGATAACGTGCTGAAATCAGTGTGTGGCATATCAATACGATAACATTGAGGGCGAGCAGGGTTGAGGATGCAACTGCTCAGAGTCAGGCTCTTCAGTTTGGGAGTGATTCTGCTCAAGACGGTCAGCACTTTCTGGTCAATGACTGCACCGCAAATCTTCAGCGTTTCCACTTGTGAAAGTGAGGTATTGACAGAGAAAGACGGATAAGGAATGTGGGCGCAGGTAAAGTTGACACTCTTCACTTCTGATATGATCTTGACCATTCTCTTGAATGATTTGCTTTGCTGATTAGCTAACCCGCTTTCAACAAAGGTAATGTCATCATCTATATAATCCACTTGAAAGTTTTGAGAAGTTCCTACGATTTTGATGATCTTGCTGAATACTGCTGGAAACTCTGTGTCAGATATGTTTATCATATAATGCGTAGTCTTGTTGTCTCCAGTCTTGTGCGCAGTTAGATATACGATTCCTCTTTCTGAACAATATGGCGAGCATGAGCGCAAGATGACTATATTATTCTTGTTCTTCAACGTTGAAAGCACCTGCTCAACTGCTTCCATGTCGCCCAAATACCAGTGACGTAAACTAATATAGCCAACACCTTTGACAGCATCCAATATACGACCAATGGTGCCATGACCATCCGTGAAAGCACCTGATATAGCTACACTTGGTATGTTGGGGTACTTGTACACAAGATATTCAATCAAATGAGGGTGGTGGTTTTCGCCAACATCGACAAATCGCAGGGTAGGTGATTGCTGCACGTTACTTATCATCCATTGCTTCAAGTCATCTTTGCTAATCCAGTGTGTTTCACCAAGTCCTATATCGAAATCAATCAGCTCCAGGCGCTGACATTTTCTGAGAACTTGCTCCAACTCTGGTAAGACGTGTCTATCAGAATATGTCAAGACGAGTTTTTTCAAGCTATTGAATTGCTCAAGATGGTCGACAACTGTTTGATAAATGGCCGTGTGAGGCGTATGCAGCGATAATCGTAGCTCTTGCAATGATGTCCTGAAGTAAAGCTGAGCATTCATATAACTGTCGCCGCCATTTGTAATCCCTTCATAAGTTATCAATGATTCCAGCTTGCTGCATTGCTCTCCTGATTCGCTGACAGCTTTCAACAAGATGGCTAAAGCAGCCTTGTCGAAATAACCTTCAAGTGAGACGATGTTGGGGTTCATAACCAATTTGAACAAATCTTCCTGGATTGATAGTTGCACCTTCTTCAAGCTACCCAAGTACAAGGAACGGATGTAATAGCGCAATGCAGGATTCTCTTGTAGACGATTGCAAAGTTTGACGATGCTTTCTGTACCATAGACTGACAAAGATTTGCTAAACATGGCTCGTTCTGCTAACGGATCCCAAGTCTTACAGACTAAGCGGCATTTGGCTACTGTCTTTATAGAGTGCGTATGCTTGAATACAATCGACCAAAGTTCTGGCGGCATACTGCTCCAAGACACTGTCATTGTAAAATCTTCTTGAATATGTGTTAATAGGTGGTCTATTTTAGAAAGAAACAAGGAGGAACAATGTCCATTTTGCTGCATTTTACTGAAATTGCCGCTGCTTTTGGTTGGTTACATTCACCAGTGTCAAAACAGATATATTGGGCACTTTAAAAAGCTTAATAGCTATTTCAACACAGTTCAGCAAGCTATAGTCGAGCCACATAACATTGATCTCGTTGAGATTTCTCTTTGGTTACATAAAAACCACCCGCTTCCATTTTTTACTATTATCGATGTTGATTGAACACCGTCCTTACTCTCGCCATAGATGCCATCTAAAGCTCCATTGACGCTCCTACTATTTCTGAACCTAACATGCTTTCATCTATTGCTCGCCACGAAAAGGGTATGACGTGTTCGTCCTCAGTGCTTAGGATATAGATCATATTTGAGAGACGAAGGTATTATTATACGTTGAATAATAATACAGGAGAAGATTGAGAACGAGCAGAGATGCGTAGTAGATTGAGATCTCTTTATTCAAGCAGTACAAAGGAGCATGAATGGTGCCGTCAAAAGGCTAATCTATATCCTGGCTCCTAAAATGTGGTAGCCCATGGCCTTTCGTCCTCGAAAGTAGGTTTCAATTCTGACAAATGTTCTTCCGTCAAATTTATTAGAAAGAACATTCTCTCCTGGATCGCCTCTGTTGTTTGTTCGTGACTGGTGGTCTATGAGCTCTTACGCAGCACATCCTCGTCAACTGGTTTAAAGCTTATACAATTATACCGCATTCAAGAACTAGATCCTATTCATTGTCAAATAACTAAAAATACCTTTGGGATTTACATTAGTTTTAATCCTCATTCAATCTTGGAACAACATGATAAATACATTCAGTTCAAATTGCCTATATTTCGTTATTCTAAACAGTACCCATTTGGTAACCCATTTATTATTACAAAGACAAAATCATGATCAATGGCAGATCAACAGAAAATCAACTAGCTATAACCCTTCGTTGTTTCAACCTCTGAGCCAATCAGATTGCTTGAAAACTCCGCTGACCTAAGAAAAATTTTGCGAGGGTTTCCCCCTGTTTTGATGTGAGGCAAAATTTTAAGCTCAGCTATATATAGCAATATAGCTGTTACTGTCATCAAATTTCCCTCAGGTGCTAGAGCATGCCTTACTTACATCACCTAGCTTTAGATTCTGGCGTTGAGACCCTCAATCATCACTGAAGTAAGTAGTGGTAACCAAGTGGAGGCAGCCTATCCATCTCCTAGTCTCGGATAAAGTCTTGTTGAGCTTCAGCGATAGGCACATCCACCACAACGTAAAAAAAGATATGCTTCAAAGAAACATAAAAACAATAAAAGAAAGAAGAAAAGAACATACTACTATAAGAGTATAGTAGTACGTAAGCAAAAAAGGAACACTCACACAAAAAAGTGAGTCAAAAGAAAAGCATAACAACAAATATAACATAAAAATGCTCCAAACAACTCATTGTTGTTGCAACAAAAATGCTTACATGAGCAAAGTGCATGGTAATAGTCGGATGTAAAGCAACAGAAACACATACAATTGCAAGAGCATTAGCAGTATTATAAGTATGCAATACAACATAATGACTAATGTTGTTTCATGTGATGAAGCCACAGAGGCAACACAAACAACAACCCACGGCCATATAACATAGTAGTATTACAGCAGCAATACAGATATATAGCAGCACATCATGCTTGTTGTTCGTACATACGAAGCAACAACATTGTAAGCATCCGTTGAGCTGATCGTATCACAGCCAACAAAAGAAAAAGAAAGCGTAACAAAGAAAACATCATGAATGCATTATCATGAGAAAGGAAGTAATAACAAAAACGTCCAGAGAAGCTTTATGTCATTACGACCAGAAGAAAAACAATACTTACCACTTACCACAGCCACGGATAGACCTGAGAATACGAAGCCACCGGAGATATACCAGAGAACGAGCATACACCACAAATAGTAGACCAAAGGAGACCAGACTAGCGGCAGCAATACCATCAGCAACACCATCAGCAACACCAGCAGCAACACCAGCAGCAACACCAGAAGCAACACCAAAAGCAACACCAGAAGCAACACCAAAAGCAACACCAGAAGCAATACCAGAAGCAATACCATCAGTAACAGCAGCATAGAAAACCAAAGAACGGGCGACACCAGAGACCAGACAAAGATTAAAGAAGCAACTGCCAGAGATAGAAATCAAAGAAGCAATCACCAGACAGGGTAAACCAAAGAAGCAGGCAGTAGAAATAGCAGAGAAGCAACGGCAGCAGCACTCACGTCAAAAAGGCAAAAAAGTTATCAAAAACTAATAAACAAATTCGATTAGTGCTGATTTTACGTATTCCAGTGCTCGCTATTGAATAGTACCTACTATATTCCACTTCGAAGAAGCAGGTTCAAGTACTTTTAACAATGCAAGAACGTGTTATCAAAAGCTAGAGTGTTATTTTCAATCAAAAGAGTTCCAAAACCAATATGGTTTGATACTAAACGCGTTTTACAAAAGGGAGGAAAAACAAGGGAATGGAAAAATGGGAGGGCGCCATATTCGACGTCACAGCCAGTAGATTTGCTCTCAGTCTTCTGCCGTGGCAGCCGTAACTGCTGTACTTTAATTTGAAATTGTGCAGTAGGTATTTTCGTGTTCAAATTTGACTCGATCTTACATTCTTTAAACGTTTTTGCTAAATTTGATTATGAAAATTGTCGTTGCTATACTTTACTTTCTAATGCATCTATATAAAGTCAATGAAGGCATATCAAATGATGCTGGTTACATTCACCTTTCAGGCCGAATATAATGAGCAATTTTCAAAAATATGAAAAAAGGTTTTTGCGAATATGTCAGAATTTAGCATATAAAAGTTCTAGAAAAAGAGTTTCCAGTGTTGCATTTCATCATTACGATCAACTTGATCTAATACGTATCATAGAAAAAATCTTCGTTTTTGGGTGAAAAACGCGATCGTTTGATTTTCAAGAATTTTGCCTTGCTAATACTCATGAAAAAAATGAGGATTTTTCATGGATTTGCAATGAACAAAAGAATTTTGAAACAAAGCATCAGTTAGTCAAGCGTGGCTAAGAAGGTACGTTTGGCGCTATTCCAAGCGTCCACAATGCTTTGTAGCATGAGTTATTCATGCTTCAAAGTGGCTAAGTTTGAACAGAATTTGATCTAAAAATAGGACAAACTAGGGTTTTCTGCCAAAGAACTATGTAAATTACAGCTCTGCTTGGTGATATAGATGCTCTGCGTTGTACGGAACACAATTTCTAAATGATAGACACTTTTATTCTAAACTGAGGCTCAGGTCTTTCTTTTTGAAATGCACGAATACAGTAATTTTATACCTTGAGCATCACTGATATTATGCAAATTTGAAACTAGCAAATTGCACGGTTTGAACCCGATGCTCATCAGGTCAGCAAGACACTTTTGACTGTCGTCCACATTGTAAGTGCCGTATTTAGCCGTAAAACTAAGCCCATCCACGATTTTAAACACTCATCTTTATTAAGGTGAGATGACTGAAAAAACTGGATAGGCTGAGTCGTTGTCAGTACCACAACAACGGGGAAGCAAACAACAAAACTTTGTATCAAAGTTAAACGATTAGATATTCATGACACCTACAAATCCTGTGATACAAGATTCGACACCAGGAGACCGCAGTGGAATCGTGTTTAAATGGTCCACGGACCTACACTGCCGAAAAGGCAAATGATCCAAAATCAATCGCTCAAACATTATTTTCCACTAGAATATACTGGCGTATGTTGCATATAAGCATGCATCTTAGGATACATTCACTTTCTCCTCAAGCCACTTTTTACACTGTAGCAACATAGATGATGTTTATCGTATCACATCACATCTATGTTTACAAGTCCAGTCAACTGTGTGTGCACGGACGCCTCAGGAACTACAATAGATTCAATCTCCTTAATGTCAAGATGTCCAGATCCATCTACACTACATGAAACATATCGATTTAGGTAGCTTCTCAGCAAGCTATACTAACAATCCATAAGGCGCCAGTGGCCTGCTATTTATACGTAGACCATCTCAACGTGGTAGTCATTCACCAGAAATCTATCATATTTAAGCTAGTTAGATGCTCTGTAATAAACAAGCTCTTTGCTTTCGTTTCAAGTACAGTTGACAACTGATTATTATCATCGACTTTATTGTTACTGTAAACTTTGAGGCTTTATAGACTAAAACTCACGGAAAAAAAAGAATAAAAAAACAGTAAAGTCAACTTGATAAAGGTATGTTTTATTATCAAACTGACAGGTGTAAAGTAAACTGAAGTCTCTCTACTGGCCAGGTAGATGATCCATCTTATATACTATAACAATGGATAAAAGTTCTATTAATTAGATTGACAAATAAGTCAACTCAGATCAACTAATGTCTAATCATGCTAAAAGACAACTCCAGCAAGCTAATCATGATTTAGCTCTGTCTGGATGAATAATTAGACTCTCATCCGAAGTACCCTGATCTATCCTTTCCATAAGGATAATTAATATCGATCTAGTAGCATGTATCCGATAGGTACAGTCTTCTTAGTCTATATTAATAGTACATATCTGAGTGTATATCGCTAAGCATACATCTTTAGCATGTATCTGGATATATGGCATGTCTATAGCATATCGTATGCATGTCTATAGCATGTCTCATATATAGTACAAGTCTGTAGTACATAAAGTACCTGTAGCTAGTATCACGGATATAAGCATGTGTCTTATAGCGTGGATCATGAAGTGCACATCTGAAGCAACAAGCTCATATTGCATTAATCTTGGTGTCTATGCAGATATGGTAAATATCCGTAGTCAATGTCGGAATACAAGTATAAGTCTATAGCGCCACCCATGTCCGTGGTGCCATCTATAGCCTATATTATCTTATATAGTATGAATCTTATAGTACTAGCGTATCT